GTTTTTTCGAAAGAAGTTTTCATCCGAGACACTCCGTATCTGAATACTCATAAATATATAATATAAGCTCTTTTCTAGTTTTTGATTAATCACCACCCAATATAAAAATAATTTGTATACGATATAATTCGTTTAATTTCTTAAGAAATTACTTCGAAGCAATACAGATTTGAATATAGTTGGCATACATTCTTATGGTTCATGCACATAACATATCTTTAATGGCAAAAACCGTTTGATTTATTATATAGAAACATATTAGGAAACTATACAATATTTCGTTTATAATCCTATAATCATAAAGCACCCAAAGAAGAACAAATTTTCAAGCACAAGCAATGCGATATAGATTGATACAAGATCACCTGGAAGTGGAAAATTCATAACGTAACTGAAATAAACTACTACCAAAATATAAACAAAGACAATGATCATTATCTGGTGTAAATATATGTGAGACACGAGTATCCGAAGAGGTAAAACGCAAATGTTAATACGTGATAAAAAGAAAAAGCAAAAATGCAAACATAATTTAGATAGAATGATCGATAAGCAATAAAATGATCTTGCCAATAAAATACAGAATACAGAAAAGTTTTAAATGGAGAGTAATGGTAGTGCTACCAATATAAGATTTTATGAGTGAATGAAAACTGTGGCATAAAATCGTGAAGTGAAAATGTCAGAAATGGTAATCTTTATTTTATAAAATCAGATCACTTTTAGAGAAGCATAAAAACAATAAAAATTCCTACTATAAGAAAATGGATAGAAAATCAGCCCATAAGGCAATCATACAGATAATGAAATATTAATTTAAGTAAATGAAAAACAACAAAGATATATTTTAATACCCAACAAATTGAATATTTTATTCAATATCCAATGTACAGAGACTGTCGAATAAACTTATAAGTTACTGTAATCTGTAATATCAAGAGAATGTGACAGGGATCTTTTACTACTGAATACCTGTTATATGTTATATTCGCTATATAGAAGATATCATTACAGTTATTTTTCTATAAGTTGGGTGCGCTACTCTATGTAATCATGCAAGATTGAATCGTGATCTATTACGCAGTGTATTTGTACCAGCTTTTTTTGGATCATACCTTTGAGTGTTTCACGATCACACAACACAATCATTGTGCAATACTGTTTATGTCATAAATTCAACGATTGTAATCCATCGAGACTCATAGTTAATTTTTGCTCTCGAAGCAACAATTATAAATTTGTCGAAAGTGTTTCGACTCTATTGTGGCCACAAAAGGAAATTCGCAGAAGTTAAAGACCATACCTGAAGCAGTCTACCATAAATGTTTGGAGAATTGGATCAAGTACTGACTCAAGGGTGCATTATTTGAAGTTGATGATTTTAATTAATCAAATTTTTAATTTATTTAACAATTCCGTATAGCTACTAAGATATACATCTATATAATCATAATCTAGCCACTATTTAGCACTTTAAACATCATCATGCTATCTTATTTAATACTTTTAACTTTAGGAAATATCTTTTGGTAGTACTGACGAGTTTTCTGTTCCAACTAATAATACTCAATATCTATAACTTCAATTAAGAACTCTATTCTTGTTCTCACAGCTAAAGAACACAGGTTAATATTTCTCAAACTATTGAATGCCAAAATATTTAAACATATGTATCTAATAACTTCCCTGAATTTAAAGACTTAAAAAAATAACTTTCGCCTACCAAAATATATGTTTTCTATTCGATGAATAAATACGTGTTCTGACTATTTCAGTATTCATTTTTTACTTATTTTCCAACAAATGTGAAACATTTTTTGAATTTCTAATTAAGTATTCTAAATATTTTAATGATTTTCTATGCTGTTAGTGGAAATAATTATAGAAAATTTTTACCCATATACTAATCATTATTAACGGGTGTGTTAATTCATTGCCAAATTCATATGTAAATCTTTATATTTTTATGAACTTATATATAAGGTGCGATAGATAGTTAATAGTAATAGTAAATAGTAAAGTCAATAACCTTCTCTAAGATATAGACAATAGTCTATTTTTGTAGTTATTTTCTATATAATTAATTAGTGATTTTATGGAGTTTAATTATGGAGTTGACGATTGATATATCTGGAACTAGATTTACCGTCGTTTTGTTTAATTTTATAGTCCAAATAGACATTTGCAAGGTAATCTAACATTTTTTTTAATATTATTGATTTGTTTTATTGATGCCACTTAAAGTAAATTTTATTGTAAACAAAAATAATAAATTATGGCTGTAATAAAACGATATCTCGACATAAATGTAAGAGGTGCTACCTGGTCTATGAAATAGACAGAGAGTGTATATTTACAATACTAACATGAATATTTCACTCTTTTTAGATACAAATATCTAAAATGGTTTGGACTAATCCAAATGATATGTTAACAGTAATCTGCGAAATCTTTATTTGTAAATCCACGATTTTTGAGCCACCAAATTTTTGATTTTCTGGACGTGCTGTCGTCCTGATGGTCGTCGAAAGACTGAATTTCAAAAGAGTAGGTTACGCTGAGATCAAAAATAATAATAGCTAATAGATATTTGATTAAAATTGATTTTTAATAAAAAAAAAGATATTTGTTTAAAAATGTTTAAAAATAACGTTAATGAAAGAATTAATAGCTATACTTTATACAAACCCCAAAGAATAGTGCTAGTACAAATTCAAAAGAAAACAGTCAATGAAAGTGCGATTAGCTCGAGTGGCTTATGAAATACTGTCAATTTGAAGTATAGTATGCAGATAAAGGTCAGTACATCTCGTTATGTTTGACTATTCAAAAAACTTCAATAGTCTGACATAAGCAGACAAAAGTTAAAATTAAAAATCTTAAACTATTTTTTAAACTGGTCAATATATTTTGCAGTTTTCTGCGACATAAAATATATCTCATGACTTGAAGATGGTTGATTGGTTGCAGTTGCATGACAGATATTTTTCCGCTGACTAAAATTAATGATTTTATGCCATGTAGCTACCACATTTCTCGCAAAAAAACCTTAACATCAAACTTAATTCAACTCGTCAAATTTAGATAGTTTAATAGATGTTTTCTGCTTACCAATAAATAGTCTGATAAACTGTCAAAACAGTACTTCACTAAAAATCTGTTTCTTCTTAGAGCCAGAGCTGGGCTATTTAAAAAGAAAATATTTAATTGTTTCTTTTTCCTGTGAGTTTTCACCACTTCCATAATGAGTATAAAAGAAATGCGTTTTTACTTTGTGTGGGTTCTTATACACCAATGACAAGAGAGAACTACAGTAAGCCTTGCATTATTTATTTGCCAAGATCTTAAATTGTTATATGAGGTTACATATGACCTATGTGTGTTCAATTTGAAGATAGTTAGCAGTAAATAATGTATAAAAGATAACGTTCATAGACTTCGTCAGAATAAATTAACATCCAAACTCCACTTTCATTATTCCAAAAAACCATCAACAGATATAAACGACAAATGTCAAACAAACACATACCTGCTTGTGTGACCCCTTTGGGAAATGTTGAATGGTGCTTGGTCGACTAGTGGCTCCGGGACGTAGACCCGGCCGTTCTTGGAACCAGATCTTTTCCCATTATCCCCTTAACTCTAACCCTACCCATCCACTCCCTTACCCATGTTTTTGTCTTGTAATCCTTACATGTTATCTGCTTTCAGATTCCCGCGGACTACAACAAGAACAACAACAGAACAGATATATACTGATCTACGTTTAATGTGCCCTAACATCTTTAACATCGCAGTTTGGAACGACTTGATTAGCAAAATATATATTTATATATAATATGGAGTAAGAGTGTTGAATGACACAAACATCAATAACCAATTATCATTATCATTGTCATCATTAAATAATTTCATTAATTTATTTATTATTGTAAAATTTCTCAGTAAATTTAACCAAGCGTTTATGGGTCAATCAACTTTTACATGTCTGCAATGTTTTTTGCTTTGTGGCGAGTTCGTTTAGAAGCGCACTATTGGCGTAGGAGAAAATTGAAGATCAAGCTTATATACTATATAAACTATTTTGATTTACGATATTACGAGATCCGAACTCATCACGCTGCTGTGTTTGTTTACAAGTAAATAGGAATTTTCAAGCGCTGCAAGTGTGAAAGAAACGTAATTGTACAATGTTTTCATCTCCGAGAAAAAAGAAAAAAATAATTTTATTGTGATTCATGAAATTTTAATTTTTTTTTAAAAATACTTTTTATATTGGCGCTGAAAACTGTGTTTACACTTGCATCTGCTGTGAATCGCATTTTTGTTCATTTTAATTGATATGCTTGGCACGCTTAACTATTATTCTCGACTGGAGAAATTGCAAAGATCTCGTTTATTGCTTTGTATTACACTTAAAAAAGAAAATATTAAAAAATAATTTAAAACACTTTATGTAAATCGCACTGTGAGCGCCGCACAATACTCGTAAGTAAGACGTTTTACGTCCAGCCAAGGGTTGTAAATGCATTCAAAAACCTGATCGAACGCTTGTTATTTCTCAGTGATTCATCAATTTACAAATTTTGCCGCTTAAATAATATTTATTTACAATTCAATTAATATATTTTATTTACTTAAATTCATTAAATGTATATGCTAAAATGCGTTCAGTTTTGTTTAAAACAAAAACGAAGTAATTATTTGGTTCCACAAATAATTTTTGCTTTTTTTTTTTTATTTTTAAAATTTATTATTTCCGAACACAACAACAAAAACAGGAGTAACAAACAAAAATAACAGCAGCATTGACTTTAGAAGATAAACGAAAAGGAGACAAAAAGAGACAACCGCGCCCTTGACTAAATGCATTATTTTAAATCTGATGGTCATATTAATATTATCCTTTTGCACGCTTTTGTAATAATACATTAAAAATATGCATATTTCCAAATAATAATTGTTTATATTTTCATAAAATATATATATTATAAACTTACGCTTTTAGTTTCTGACATTTTGCGGCAACAAAGTTTGTTTTATCTGCTTTATATCTTTTATTAATATATCAAATATTTTCTTCTTTCACGTACACACAATATACATATATTTGTTTAAAAATTATTTCTTTTTTTATCAGCAAAAATGAGCTGATTCAACATAAACAAAACGAAGAAAAACAAAAAGAAATAAATGCTACTCGCAAGCACAGTTAAACGCGGAAACGCAGAAACAGTGTATCATATATATAATTATGTATTTGTATGAAAAAAATTTTAATTACAAATTCAAAGTAGATTTTTAACACGCAGAAAAAATAATTAAACAAATGCAAGGCTCCGAAACGAAAAACAACACCGGCTATTCTTTCACTAACAACAGTTGCATTTCAACTAAATTGTAATGTCACAAACAATTGCACATTCACAATAATAACTAACCACTTACCACACTTGCCAGTCACAATGATATGCAGATATGTACGTTGTTAATTGCGAACAATCACACATGCGTTACAACAAAGCAAAATGTTCCTTTAAAGTAGGCTTAGGACCATGTTATGTAGAGTATCATGAATAGCAAATCGTTATAGTTTTCAATGCAAATTACAAAATTAAAAGAGTGAAAAAACAATATGGCGGTTAAAATTTGGTTATGAGGGCCTCGTTTTCTTTATTTGTGTTTTAAGAAATCAGCTGACCCACGTTTAAAAAAATTTAAAATGTGTAATACAAATGTAGGTTGCTTAAATTTTTTGCACGTATGTAAAATTTGCTCTTTGGGAAAACAACATTTGAAAGATTACAACAGTGTTGTCAATATGTTAGTTAGGGACTTAAAGCAAGAGACTTATGGGCAATAAAATATGATTTCTTTGTAGTAAATAACCTCATAATAAATATGCATCAATAAATGCATATTTATTGATTTTTGTTAATTACGATAACAAAAATTTATTTTTTTTAATTAATTCATTTTTTTTGCTGATCATATAGCCGTTTCAAATTATCACCATAATCATCATAATATATTTCCTTGAATAGATATGAATATGTAATATATATCATGAATATATATATTTATATATATTCTTTATATGATTTTTGCACTATAAGTGCCAGGATTAGTACTTTAAACTTGTTCAATTTAAAAAATAGATTAGCGTTTCATTAATCATATTATAATTTTGTTAATGTAACACACTATTATTTAAATATTTTTAAAAATCAAATTAATTTGATATATTAATAATGTGATATGGAAAAATAAAATGAATGCATTGTTTTGAATTTGGAATTAATTTAGAATTTCATTTATTATTTAATATTAATAAATATTTTTTAACACAATTTAACTACAATGAATATGCCGAACATTGCAAAAACAATTTCTTTTAATCTTTATAAGATTGAATTATAATTTTAAATAGTTTTTGTAATCGAGTGAAACGAATGAACCAAACGATTACTTATGATAAGTTAATAAGCTATCAGCTTATTGTATATTATGTTTATAATTATTGAAGTTCATTTACATATTATTATATCCATTTTTGTGTGGCATATAGTATAAACTAAAGAAAACTATCTTTGATGTAAACGTAGTGCTATTCTCAAAATACTTCTTTGTTTATTGTGAATTACATATTGTAAGAGCCGCTTAAATTTACCATATCATTTTTGTCAGCTGATTATGATTGCTAAAATATTTTTCTAAATAACGCAAAAATTATCAAACATTTTTTCAAAAGTTTAAATAGTGTTTATGGATTTGGTGTAAGATGAGGTTTACACAAAATCTAAGGTTCCATTTTGGACAAATTGATTTCAGTGCCAAACAGCAATTTGTGCCCAAGCATAACAAAGTTTTAGAAGAAGATATAAAACGTTTAGAAAACTTTTTACTCTCTAAACCAAAAACATTGGTGTTAACTGGTGCAGGAATATCAACAGAATCTGGTATTATAAATATATTACTTTTAAATAACATATAAAATAATAATATGCCCAAATTAAATTAATGTTTAAGGCATACCTGACTATAGATCTGAGGGAGTTGGCTTATATGCTCGAACCAATCACAAACCAATTCAATATATAGAGTTCCTAAAATCAGCTGATGTACGACAACGCTACTGGGCAAGAAATTTCGTTGGTTGGACTAAATTCTCCGCAACTGAACCAAATGCCGTACATCAAACCTTAGCACGTTTTGAACGTGAGGAACGTATACAAGGAGTTGTTACTCAAAATGTTGATCGTTTACACATAAAAGCCGGTTCTCGCAACGTTGTTGAAATTCATGGTAGTGGTTATGTCGTTGAATGCCTTTCATGTGATTATCGTATTGATCGTCATAATTATCAGGATATCTTAAACAGCATGAACCCCGCTTTGAGAGATTCAGCAGTAGATATGATTAGACCAGATGGAGATGTTGAAATTCCAGTAGAACACATAAAAAGCTTTAAAGTACCAGCATGTCCGAAATGTAACGGCAACATGAAACCAGAAATTATATTCTTTGGTGATAATGTGCCTAAAACACGCGTTGATAAAATAGCAGAAATGATATATAATAGTGATGGCTTATTGGTGCTCGGTTCTAGTTTATTAGTGTTTTCTGGGTATCGTATGGTGCTGCAGTCAAAAGATTTAAATTTACCTGTAACTATTGTTAATATTGGACCTACTCGCGCAGATCATTTAGCTGATATTAAATTGGATGCAAAATGTGGAGATGTTATACCAAAATTATTTAATTATAAAAGTTGATGTTATATAAATTTCGTATTGTGTTCGTTTTTACTTTGTTTTACTCTGTTATTGTTATAGAAAATTTTTTAAATGTATGATTTCAGAAATGTTGACTATATTGTATAATTTGTAAATTTTTAAAATACATGATTTTCGAATTGTTGGCTTTGTTCTACAATTTGTAAGTTGTTAAAATATCCTTTCGTAAAAATATTAAAACATTATTTTGCATTTTATGAATTCAAGGTAAGTAAAATAATTATAAGTAATTTTTTAACACTAATGAATTTGTTGACAAAATTGCAAACTCAGTTGCTGTGTGTAAATCAGAGAAATGTAGTCTTTTTGGGGTTAAAGATTTGTTTTGCTCCCCATCTATTGTGAATGAGAAAAAGTATTTTGCGAAAACTTTGTTTTTATTATGACAAAGGCTAAATTTAGAGATTGCACAGTACAAAAAGTTTTATAGCAAATGTGAAACTATATTAGAATTTTTTTAACGAAATTAAATTGAGAATAAAAATCAAATATTTGCGAGATAAATTCATATGTAATTTATATGTCAAACTGCTTTCCAACTTGTTTTTGATTATCTAATAAAACAAAACGCAATAAAATTTTTCCAATGTTACACACACACCGCCCCGTGCGGTTTAAAAATAAAATTTATTAAAAGATAACTTAATAAAAACGTAAGCAAAACAAATTTCACAAATAATTGGACATAATTAATCACTAATTTTCTCAGTTTTTTAGATATTCTAATTTTATAACACAACTTTTGTTTTTGTTGAAAATTGGTGTGCAAGGCACTTATCAGGGGAAGGCACTTAAGAAAAATGTCTGTGCGTTTGCTTACTACCCGACTTGTTAAACATGGTCGTTACTTTCTACAAAGCTTTTGTAAACGAGATATATATACCAACATTTTGGAACAAGAACAATCTAACACAAGAAAACGTGTGCCTATTTCGACCAGAGTTGTTAGGGTAAGTACACACTCATATTTTTTTATACTATATAATCTACTGATATATACCAAAATCTTTTTTATAGTCTACGACACATAGACCAACACTAAATGTCACAAAGAATGCGGTTAGTGTTTCGCTTAAATCTCCAAATGCATCGATTCCACGAACTGGACTCTTTCGATTTGGTGAACATGCACGAAAAGTTTTCATTGATAATATATTAAATCGTGTCACTACTCAATATTCTGAACAACTTCGTAGTCAGGCTACTAAAAAATTGTTCTACGGTGATTCTGCTCCATTTTTTGCCTTAGTTGGAGTTAGTTTAGCATCGGGTGCCGGTGTATTGACAAAAGAAGATGAATTGGAAGGTGTATGTTGGGAGATACGAGAAGCTGTTGCGCGTTTACAGGCTTCATGGGATTACGATGATATCTCAAAAAATTTAGATGAAGACTTTAATATAGATAAATTGGATATTGGGCCACCAATTGCTAAAGGTTGTGCTGCTGTCGTTTATGCTGCAGCTCTCAAAGACAGCTCTTCCAATGATAATACCAATATATCATATACTACTGAAAATGTAAGTGAAGCCAATCCAGATCGAAATGCTTTGCAACAACAAACGCTTAATTTCGATATAATGTCACCCATACAAAATATGTCACGATTTGTACACAATTTCGGAGGCTCAGTAGATAATTTAAATATCTATTCTCAAAGCAATGCAGCAACTTCATTTTTAAAAAATTTAGCTGATCGAGATCTTAATGAAGACGATATAAAACGACAAGATGAAATACGTGGACAGGAAATGAATAATGCTGCTTCCAATACTATAAACGATTCTCAACTTCTTGTAAGTTATAATATTTAATATAATTATTTTAATATTTTCATTCTATTAGTATTATAATTATCACATATAATTATTTTATATTTATATATATAATAGATCTATATAATAATTATTTTATATTTTTTCATAACTGCAAATTTTGCAATAATTTCTATTCTTTCCATTTTTTCTTATTTTAGGAATGTTTAAATACTGATATCACTCGCTATCCAATTGCAATGAAAATGATGTTTAACTACGACATACAAAGCAACGCTCTTTCAATTTTACGCGCTATGTACAAAGAAACTGTGCCCGCTCGTCAACGTCGTATGAACGCTTCATCTGAGGAATGGGAACGTTTAATATCTAATCAAACATTAACATTGCCTCCGCACCCAAATATCGTTTGCATGTATGGTTTCTTTTGCGATGAAGTGCGTAATTTTCCAGACGGGCATTTGCTTTATCCAATAGCTCAGCCACAGCGTATAAATCCTCTCGGTTATGGCAGAAATATGTCGTTATATTTACTAATGAAACGCTATGACTACAGTCTACGATCTTTATTGGACACACATGAACTAAGTGCACGCACTAAATTGTTATTATTTGCACAATTATTGGAAGCAGTAGCACATATAAGTCGACATGGAATAGCACATAGAGATCTTAAATCAGATAATATATTAATTGAAGTAAATGATGATAATACACCACCTGTTTTGGTACTATCCGATTTTGGTTGTTGTCTTGCTGACAAGGTACATGGGTTAGAAGTACCATATACATCGTTCGATATCGATAAAGGCGGTAATGTAGCTTTAATGGCCCCTGAAATCATTAATAAACGACCGGGTTCATTTGCTGTGTTAGATTACAAAAAAGCTGATTTGTGGGCATGTGGTGCAATTGCATACGAAATATTTGGTTCTCCAAATCCGTTCTATTCTAGTAGTGGTGGTATGGCAGCAATAAATGGCGAACAAACAAATTCCCTAAGGAATTCCGACTACCGAGAAGAGCAATTACCTGCATTAAGTAATGATTGTCCCTACTTGGTACGACAATTGATTTACAATATACTTAATCCAAATTCGTCCAAACGAGTAAGTCCCGATATTGCTGCTAATATAATGCAGTTATATTTGTGGGCACCATCGTACTGGTTGAAACCAGAAGGCATACCAAATAGTCCAGAAGTATATAAGTAATTTGTTGATTTAAGAATATTTTTTAAGATGTTTTTTTTTTAGATTTTACAATGGTTACTCTCGCTTACAACCAAAGTTATGTGTGAAGGACGGAACATCACTCAAATATTAAATGAAACGTTAAATTTTAATCACGGCGGACGTCGTACTTATGTGGAATATTTGTTAATTTCTAGTTTTTTGTCTCGAGCACGGTTGCGCCGTATTCGAGGCGCCCTTAATTGGATACAAGACACAGTTTAAAAGACATATATAATTGTTTGAATATAATAATTTATCAAATAATAATTTTATATTTTATAACAAATTTGAGAGAAGTGTGATATATTTACAGCAAACATAGAAACGGATAGAGAAAAATGTAATTACAATGAATAAAATTAATTATAATTTTCCAAATCATATGAAAAATATTATTAATAAAATTTAATAAAGCTTCATTAATCACTACTTGAGTCGGCAAAATATTTTCTTAAATTTCTAAGTAATCCAGATGTATCTTGCGTTTTATACAGAAATTCTTTGATGCTATCAAAATTTGGATGAGAGGGATAGATTTCAATTAAATGCCAGCAATCTTCTTCATTCGCCAATTTCACATAACATCTTGCATTGTAGTTAAACTGTTTAAATAAAAAATATATGATATTGTTCTTATGGTTTACAATATAATTATGAATTATTTACTGTTAAAACATTAATTTTTCCGTCTACAAATTCAGCATCAGTTATAGAATAGCCCAACAAACAATACAAATTTTGTAGATCGTTTGCTACATCCTTTTCATCTAAAATATCTGAAAGATTATAAAAGAAAAATTTAATTTAAATTAGATATACATTGTTTTGTGAAATCCAAAACTCACTCTGTGAATCATAATCTGCATTCTCATCTAATATATGATTCTTAAGAGTTTCCATATCTTCAGGCTCAGACTTTGTTATGGCATGTACCAGTTCATCCTTTTCTTTTTTTAACGTTTCCAGTTTTAATATTAATTCCTGTAAACTATTGGCTAGACTATTGCATACATTATGGCAAACTTCCAATTTATGCACTTCGTTTTGAATATTTTCAATATTTTTCAACTGCTTGTCGCTATTATGATCCAAATCGCTGTTTGTTCTCATTTTGATTCGAATTTTATATTTTGTTTTGATTGCTGCTTTCATTCAATTCAAAAATTTATAAAGTGGCTTGGTTCAGAATGCGTTCGAAAAGTATGCCAGAAAAAAATTCACAATATACTTAAACATAAATATAACGAATCAATTCTTAAAGAAAAAAAAAAAAAAAGTTTTGTTCAAGAGCATAAATAATAAACGAAAATATTTATTTAAGATTCTTTTGTATTAAGTTAAGTTATACTGCTGTTTTTAGGGATCTATTAAGACACTATACTACTGTAATAAAACTCAAGCGATTTAAAAACACTTTAAACCTTTAGCAAGCCTTATAATTCTTCTTAAAAGGAAGTCTTAAAGCTTGCTAAGATTCTTTAAAAAATGAGTTCCGAGTATCATTAATCTCTGCGCATATGTTAGAGCCAGAAGATTTTAGATCTTCTCTTAGCTAATGATGTACAGTGACACATGAGATGGGGCACAGTTCTTTTCTCATCCGCAAAGTCACAACTACGACAAAAGTTGTTATAATATAGTCCCAGTTTCATCATGCAGTGACCTGCACCGATACTGTAGTGCTGGGCTAGTTACACCTTAGTTGAAGTAGCTAACTAGCACGTTTCCTTTCCAGTTTAGACCAACTTAACCTAGAGATCTGATAATAAATAAGAAGAATGTAATAATTAAAATGAAATAAAAAATATAAAGATATAAATAATTCACAAAAGGATTGAACCTTTTTTCTTTGTACAGAAATATTTAAAAATAGTAATTTTATTTATAATATTATAATGTTATTTATAACATTATATTTATTTATAATATATATATATATTTGTATTTATATATTTACTGATATTTATAAATTATTTTAAATTGATTGACACTTTTAATTTCCTAAAAAAGAAATTATCGAAAAGTAAATTAAATCACCATATTTTATGGTGCTCTAATCAAATTCGCTTTGGATAAGTTTTCCCCAACACAAGCCTAATTGGAAGTGAAAGATCAAACAGCGGCGAAAATTGAAAAACAAAAAATCATAAGAAGCAGTTATAAAGTGATGCTTAGCTAGTTAATATCGGCAAAATTCAATATCAGTTAAATTCAGTTTTTAACATCAATTATAAAATAATTAAGTTAATAAGGATAAATGATTAAGTTTAAAGTGCTTTACAATAAAAATATTGTGTTTTTTCAAATATATTAAAAAATTTTGAAAAATATGTCGAAACCTAAAAAAACGCCATATTGAATTTCGTGACGCAATAATGCATTTAAATCAAAAACTCAATATTAATAATTTTTTATATTTACTTTTAATTGGTATGAAATAAATGTATGTCAATAAATCTATAATTTGTAGAGAGTTAAATTTATCTTGTTGGAATGAAAATTCTGTAATTTTTAAAAACAGTTGATAATGAACCACAAGTAACGGTAACCATTTATTGTGAAATATCTCACAATAAGGAGGGCAGCGGTTTAATTTTCGCCTTTATGCATATTGGTTGCTGTCAAATTTGGGTAAGTCAGTGAAGACTTTTATAATCATTACTTAATTTTATAAAAATTAAATAAATTATTTTGAAAATTATTAAATAAATTTTGATTATCGTAAAAAATATAGATTTAAATTATAATTTGATAAATTTGTTAACAAGTTTACTCTTATAGTAATTATAATACAGTTTTAAGCTTACACATTTGACTTTTAACAAAACGTGTGTCAGCGATTTATGTAGAATTAAATTTAAACAATTGAAAACGAATATAAAACAAAAATTAAAATGAATAGTAAATACTAATACTGGGTTTTTGGATTATCGGAGTTTAAAGATTTAAATTATTTACATTGATTACACAAACAACAATTATACTCGCCACCTAGCGGCAATTTGTACATTTACTTTTACTTTTTTTAAATATTAGTACATTAATTTTTATTAATTAATGTGCCGTGATTTAACTACAGATATATTGTTCACAACTTTAAACTTCGATATCTGTAGGTCCAAGAAATGTCGGTATAATACCGATTTTACCATATATTTCATCAATAGCAATGAAAATAAATGTGAAATACCAGAAGAAAATTAAATTCGGACAAATAAAAAATAATATTTTATATATAAAACCCTTCACCTAATGCTTTCAATGTAAGCAAAAATATGAATTATTATTAATGTTTTTTTATATATATTATATTCCCGGCTACAGGTCACCTTTTTTAAGTTAAACATTTTTTTAATATTTTTTATAATTCTATATTTCGATTCTTTTTGAGAGTCATCAACAAGACAAGAAATCTACAACTAATAATAAATATATTAATATAATATTAATATTAAATATATATTATATGTTATATTATTAATGTACATATTATATCATTAAATTTATTATTTTTGTGGAAGTTTTTTTTATATTTTCAATTCACTAAAGTTTTATTTATATACATACATATATATATTATTTACATAGATATACATATATCTATTTGTATGTAGAAAATAATATTCTCAGTTTTCAAGGGATTTATGTAAATTTATACTCTCTTAGTTTTGGTACTAAAATAAAACACTATAAATATACGTTTTGTGTAGTTTTGGATAATTTTAAATTTATTGTCAAGACATTATCTATCCCGTTGATCACCTCACGAAATAAACCACTGTGTCTTTAGGTGTGTTGAGATTCTGTCTTTATAATCTACTTTTAAACTTATGATTTTAAAAATAGAAGTCTGCTTTTGTCAAATCAGATATACGAGTATATCTTTGTAATAGGTAAAATTGAATGTCTAAAACCGGTCACAAATTTATTCATCATTATCCTCATGTATTACTATTAGTTAATGTCGATGTTAGCTTTCAGTGCTACATGTAAGAAAAGTATACTTTGCGAAATTACACTAGTACTCAGCTCCGTAGCCAGAAAATTACTTATTTGTTTTTATATAAAATGCTGGATTGCCTATAGTTTAATTTACTATTCAATCATGAGGTGATGCATTAATAAAGAATGGAGATATGAATTCGTAATTTCCTCGTATTATTTTCAAAGTGAAGAGGGGCCCTATTACTCCCTTTACGGCCTATTAGTTACATTTTTGTCTGTACTTCTAAAAACTCATCTCGATTTGGTAAAGATATCTACTATCTTAAAAAATATAATATAAATGTAATTATATATTATATTATACACACAGATGCGATTTGCCAAATATTTAAGAAACATATTTATTTAACAAATAAAATTTTAAAAATAAAAAAATTTTCATCGTATTATAAAATAAAATAAAAGCAAGCTAAATTTATTTCGGTCCCAACATATTTTTGGGATTAACCCATTCAGCGAATTGCTGTTCATTGAGGAAGCCCAACTTAATTGCCTCTTCCTTAAGCGTTGTACCATTCTTGTGAGCAGTTTTAGCAATTTTAGCTGCTTTATCATAACCAATATGAGGATTCAGAGCAGTAACTAACATAAGTGATTCTTGCATGATTTTAGCAATACGTTCCTTATTCGGTTTAATACCAGCAACGCAATTCTTGGTGAATGTACGGCACCCATCAGCTACAATATGATAGATGAAAAATTTAGTTACTTTAAAATTTTATTATGTTATAGCAACATATACTTACATAACAAGCGTATAGAACGTAAAACATTTGACACCACTAATGGTTTGAACACGTTAAGTTCAAAGTGACCATTTGAACCTCCAATAGTTACAGCAACATGATTGCCCATAACTTGTGCAGCCAACATAGTAATTGATTCACATTGTGTAGGGTTGACTTTACCAGGCATAATTGAACTACCAGGTTCATTTTCAGGTAACATTAGTTCTCCTAAACCACAACGTGGACCAGAACCTAGGAAGCGTATATCATTGCCAATTTTCATAAGGCTCACAGCGATTGTGTTAAGAGCACCGCTGACTTCTACCATTGCATCACGTGAAGCCAAGCCTTCAAACAGATTTGGGGCACTAACAAATGGCAGGTCAGTCAGCTCGGAAATACGTTTACAACATTTTTCAGCAAAACCAATGCGTGTATTCAATCCAGTACCAACAGCAGTACCGCCGATAGCAAGCTCTAAACAGCGTGGCATAACAGAATTAACACGATCAATTGCATAGGACATTTGTTGAGTATAACCACTAAACTCTTGTCCCAATGTCAATGGAACAGCATCCATGGTGTGGGTACGACCAATTTTGATAATATCTTTAAATTCTTCAGATTTTGCCTTTAAAGCATCATGCAAACATTGAAGGGCAGGCTTAAGATTTTTACACAATTCTACAGCTACAGAAACATGAATGGCAGTTGGAAAAGTATCATTCGAACTTTGAGATTTGTTGACATGATCATTAGGATGTACAGGAGTTTTCGAACCAAGTTGACCGCCCATCATTTCAATTGCGCGGTTACTAATAACCTATAAAGAACAAAAATAAATATATTTAGTTTATTTGATATTTGATTTTATGCGTAATTTCACGGAATAAGATTTCAGAAAATTTCAGAAGTGGTCGGGTGTATATCCCGGCGATACTCGTCTTTTTATACGACTCGATATCGTTCATCTTTGAGGTTAGAGAGATAACCCTTGCTAGAACTACTATAATTCCAACAAAAACATAATCTAGACAAATCTAGCAGGAGAATTATTACTAAGTTAGTAATAAGTGCAAAACCATTATCGTGGAAGAAAGGATAATCGGTTCATATCATAACAAAAACATTTGATGAATTTAATCAATTACAATAAATAGAATATTTCAAATTGTATTTCAATTTCAATTGTATTTCAATTGTATTTCAAATTGTTTTTTGCATAAATAAATTTTTTAATTTAATTTAATTTTAATTAAAGTGTTTGTGATGTACACCCAAAAACTATTTTCTAATATATTAACTTACCGGTAAACGGTAACTTAGTGGTAGTAGCAAAAAACTGAAATTGCATCTCTTTACTTATTTTAATTATATTTTCTATATATCAGAATTCGACATGCGAAGCTGAATTGCTGGATAGACAAAAATCCTATCGAATATTAACTATAAATCTTTATTATAATTAAGCTAAACTACAGTTTGATAAAAATAACCCGGTGTTAAAACACTGTTATTGTATGAAAATAATTTACTGTATTGTTCCAGTATTAAACATTATATTTTTGAATGAACCATTAATTTTTTGATTTACAACTCTCATAAACTAGATTAATTACAACTACAAGCCATATAAACACTGATAAATATTAATAGTATAATTAATAGTTTTTTCATGAATAATATTCCATGAATAACCATGAACTTAAATGGTCTACATTTATTAATGGTTCATAGAATGAACATTCTCATTATGGCCAGTAATTATTAAAGAAGTCAAGAAATTTCCAGATAAACAAATTTCTTGATTAATAGATCAAATTATATATCTTCAAATAATTTATTTTGAAATATTATATATTTCATACGTACCTCATTGCAATTCATGTTGGTTTGAGTACCAGAACCGGTTTGCCAGATAACCAAAGGAAAATGATCTTCATAGAGCTGACCTGAGATAACTTCATCACATGCCTTTGAAATATTCTCACTAATTTTTGCATCCAACCCGAATTCTTTATTAACTTCTGCAGCGGCCTTCTTTAAAATACCCATAGCTTGGATTACGGGTTTCTTTAATTAAAAAAAAAAAAAAGACAACTGAAAAACCGTGATTAAAACAGTTTGTATTAATTTAACATACCGGCATACGTTCTCGTTCACCACCAATTGGAAAATTTAACTTAGAACGCATTGTTTGAGCTCCATAATACTTATCAGCTGGTACCTTTAACTCACCGAAGGTATCAGTTTCAATGCGAAACTCCTTGGAACCCTGTGAAGAAAATAGAGCATTAATGTTTTATTTATTGCCAAAACAATTTTTTTTTAGTTATTAAACTACTCTTTATATTTTAAATAATTTACCATTCTTGCTTGCTTATAACCGATTTCTATCAAGTCAAACAGAAAACTGGACATGAGATTTTTAAATTTGCGTGAGATTACACTCAAACGATAAGATTAATAGATAGAACTATGACAACAAATATACAATTCTATGTATATATATATATATTACAAATTTCAAAACAGTAAGAAAAAAATAAAATTGAAATAAGATTAAATTTTTTCAAACTGCTACTTGATTAAATTTTATTTTATGAGAAAAATAAAGTAAAATTTAAGATTAAAATTTTTTAATAGCAGCGCTTGTATCTACTTTATAAGTTATAAGAAAATATATTTGCATGAAGTAATAAATCGAACGTCTACGTCTGATTCAAAATAGTTCAGTCGTGAAAATAGATATTACAATGTGTATTTAACTGCTAATTATATTTTTAATTGTACACATTTTGTAGGTTTTACTTTCGTAGCGGTTTTAGTTAATTGGATTTCAATGTACTGCAATAATATCAGTAAATTAACTTAAATTCCATTAAATAGTTATGGTGCATTAATAATTAATATACATAAGTATAAAAACAGTTTTTTGATTCCTATCGGGGGGGCTATAGATCCTCAATCCTACGCCCTGACTAGGTAACAGCGACCAACTTCTGGTACAAAGTATTATTTACTTACTTATTTACTATGCATGTACTACTACTTGTTATTATATCTATAAATTTACTTAAGGGGTCTTTGAATAGAATTGTATGTTGATCCTCTCCTTTACTCTTTGATAGCTGGGGGTACCACAGGGTCCCACCCATCTCATTGACTAATTTGTATATCTCTTATAATCTTCATAATTATTCAGTGATTGATCTAGGATCTGCGTACCTCCCCGTGCGGAGACTGATTACTCTAAGATTAGATAGTGGTAATTAGGATAGCCTGTCAATTTTCGCATATAACTTCAGGGCTCTGTCCCTTATGTATTTTTTGACTGACCAGGTCTATTCTAAGATCTCTTAGCATATCATTCGTGCGGATGTACTATATATAATCGTTGATCAGGTTAATAAACCAATAGCTGTATGATTGATATCTTTAATTACGACAACGATTTTGATTACCAGACACTCTTGAAGGATTTGGGTTAAGAAACCTACTTTAAAGAAATCTTTTCACTACGCTATATCCACATATAGCTTATTTTTAAATATATAGCAGACCTGGGAAATCGTAATGACGTTATAAAAAGTCGTAGCTTCACATCGTTAAGAATAACTAACTTAATTACTCAATAGTTGTTTTTCACAACGAATTGAACTAGCTTAGAAAATAGCTTATCCTTGGATCCGATGTGAGGTATTAGTTCGAAAGTAATAGTGGTTTCAACCAATACTGTTATCATTATTGTATATTAATTTTTATTCATCAAGTATCTTTATTATTATTATTATTAGTTTGTTATTATTATTGTTATTAGTCATTATTATCCTATTCTTATATTCCTATTCAATTCTATTGTATCATATTATATTTTATAGGATTTGATTCCATTCTTTTCTATTCTATTTTATTATAAACTGTGGTGGCACAAATTTAAAGTAGTGAAAAAAAAATACTTTAGAATAAATATATCAATATTATATTGAAGAGTAGAAGCCTCCATATTTCCTCCAGAAGTAAATAAATGTGTACTGTCCATTTTTAATGAGTGTCTTTGTAAATATTTTTGGATTTTTGGACTCATGCCGAGTTATTGAAGCTTTGGATTTTTTAATTTTTTTATTTTAAAGTAAATGTATTAATATATACAAACAAGTTTCACAAGTTTTTTTTTTTTTCATTTGTTTAAAGTGCTAAATGATTCATTCAAGCTGGGTTGATTTCTATTTAGAATTTTGGAAGCAATTTTTGTGTGAAACTAGTTTTCATTATATTGCAATTAAGTATAAATTAAAAGCTATTACCTAATGAATTTATGTCAAAGTGGAGTGCGTACTAAATTGGGTTCTATTTATTGTTCCACTATACACTATACTACTGAAAGTGATATGAATATCAATTTTTACAATAGTTTCAAAAGTTTCTTAAATGAATAAGACTGTATTAAACACAAAAAAAAATGAAAAAAATTATACATATATTTGTATAATTTCAGAAAGGTATTAGAATACAGCCCCTAAAATTACCAGTACTGTTGATAGATCTGTTCTTAGTATATGAGTATAAAGTATAAAATACCTTCTGTTCGAAATAAGCTTTATTTTTTTTTCTTAATGCGATAAATAATTAAAAATTTGATTTAAAGTTCATTTTAGAGTTAATTAGAGATTTACTAATGTAATTTTTTCTACGAAATAGGAGGGTTTCTAAAAGAAATCTAATATATCATTTACTAAAATAATTAAATCAAACAGAAATATTTTCATTAATAAAACAAATAGTTATGTGGCAGATCAAAAACTGGATTACAAAAATTTGATTTTCAATATTTCACTGGTATTGATAAACTCACTTTACATTACCAACCTAAATAAATTTTGAAATGAAAGGCACCAATCCAATTATTATGAAAGTTTTCCACTAATCTATATGCCAACATAAAGTTGATAATTTGTATATTAAGTCCACCAATACCAAGTAAGTCTTTTGTATATATAAACAAACTCCAATAGTACACAAAACAACATCGTTGTTACTGCAAATTTATTTTTGTATAAAAAGACAGAATCTAAAATATTTACATGAGTTCTAAATTTAGTAGTTAGTACTAAATTTTTATACTTTGTATTAAAACAAGAATAATAATAATAGCAACAATTTCTTAAGCAAAATTTTGTGTATGTTACTTATTATTATATAATTATATAATATTTATAATGTTTCTACAAAGCCAAAAAAATAATTATTCTCACGTGATTAAATCATCTAAAGTGCAAACTTGCATTGGACGGTGAAATTACACTTAATCGGATAATTAAAAACTTTGTTAAAAATACATTACAAATGTCTAATCAGATCTTTTATTTTAAACGTTATCATCTCTAATAAACATTCCACAGAGTTTTTTATAATGTACGATCTAGATCTACAGTTAAGATATTCTCACTTAGTCATTTCAGTAACAAAGCACTTGATTTTTCATTTATTGTGTTTTAATAAGGAAAGTTATAAATCTACGCCACGAAATTAACATAGAGCCTATAAGACAGATTATACTCTGGTGGAACAGTAACCTACTGTAAAACTACAAAATCTATGTGCACTACAAATGAAGAAATGTACACTTGTTTTGTACGGTCAGATAAAGATTGCAGAACTATTGTAGGTATGCTGGCGAGCACACACATTCAAGAAAGGAATTACTAATACTGCCGAATGCAATAAATGCAGAGTTGGAGAAATGGAGACACTAGAACATCTATGTTTTTGTCCGGCGCTGTTATATATACTCGTAAAATGGTTAGGCTTTCACAATTTGAGTTCAAGAACTTCTCAATAATGGAGCTTTAAGTATTCTTAAGATTCGTAAAAAGCGTTCTCATCCTATATAATACCTACTATAACATACATAGAAGTTAGAACCTTAAAGCTGTCGAATGCCTTTATTTAAATTACAAATTTTTTGTTTTCTAAATGTTATTATCGTTATTTTTATGACTAAGTGTTATGAGCTTTTGACCGCTTACAAGCACCGGGGCTTAATTTTGCTTTTATATTTAAAAATATTAATTTTTTAATCAGATAGACTACACTATTTATCAATATTTCTTGCTGCTCGACAAATCGGGGTTTAAACTTAAAAGATGTTGTAATAGTATTTGTCTAATCAAGGTAAATATTTCGTATGCTAGTAATCGTTATATAGAGTTATAATGAACGCAAAAATTTATAATTTGAAGCAATTCTAGAGCTTTAAGTTTTCGATACTGCTTTATGTACTCTACATGTACATATAGTATATTGGAAATAGTTGCTTAGTAAAAGCGATTGTATTAAAATTTGTCATTAAATCACTGCACTTTTGAAATTGTTATCGTACTTTAGAAACTTTAATTATGCCTTTTTTGGTCAAAAAGTAAGTTTAGTGCAACTAATTATGTCATATTTCTTGATCAATACTTTTCACCCAACCAATAATTGTCTTTGTATTGTATTCTGATACTCGACACTTATAAAAACTGCTAGATGCTTACATGAAATTGATAATTTTAGTATTGAGAAATTAAAAATTAAAGTTCATAAAAAAGTGTACCATTACTGACAGTTTACAGTGTACACAGCCTTGGTGTTACAATCAACCGGCGAAGTTGTAAACAAATTGTTATAAATATATACAGTTTTTATTTTTATATATCTATTTACATAATACTATTTAAAGAGGTTTAAATTGAAGTAACGAAAAGTAAAAATAACTTCTTAAATATTTGGATCTTATTGAGGTTACGAGATTATTCACTCACATATTTTTATAGGTTTCTTGGTTATAGACATCATTGGCCGGTTTTTAACATACACACATTTATAATATATTTATTAAGTATTTATATTGGTAGTTCTACATGTTCAGTAAAAATTAAAGTTGAAGAATTTTAATATATTGATTAAGTACCACATTTCATATTTCATTCCATATTTTATAATTAGGAATCACACATAGACACAAAAAATCTGTCAACGCTTGACTACATTTTACCAATTAGATGAATGTAACAAACTAAAGCTGCATCTTACTTTTTAATATGTGATATTAATATTATATTAATATAGATATTAAAATATTATAAAGTTAACCATTTTTGTTATATATTACTTAATTACATAACTTCCCAAAATTTACAAAATCTAATAAACATACCTTTGAGCTTTTGCATCTCAAAGCGGAATAACATCCACCGATTTTTAGTTGTTGTACACCCCGAGGAGCATTACGAGAAAGATTCGAAAACAACATTTTTAAGATTAGTTTATATACCCGTAATCTCAACTATCTCAAACTTCGGATAAGCAAACCCAACGTACACACACACACCGACTTTGGCCAAAAGGCATCACAGACTAATTCTTTTGGAAACAGCTGACAATCGAATTGTCAAATACTACACAAAGAAAAAATATTTAAATTTTGCTAATCAACAAATTTCGCTTTAATTTAAATTAATTTTTTCTCATTTATATAATTGTGAGGCTTTTATCATAGTTCCTTTTCCTCATATAGCTCTTTTATTATTTAATATGAAATAATATGAGAAAATAAATTTATATATAAAAAATAAAATTAACAAATTTATATTAAATTAAATTAATAATCCTAAATTAAATTAATTATATATCTTAATTAGTTACATATATAACTTCGTATAATATACAAAACATAAGATATTTACCTTAGCTCCACCCTTGCCTCCGCCCTTGGCTCCACCCTTTGAGTCGCCTGAACATTCTCCTTTGAAACGTTGAACGAAATAATAACCGGCAAAGTTAAATTGTTGCACGCCACGCAAAACATAAAGACGGGAAAGTTTAGAAAACATTTTGAAGATTTATTTATTTATTTTGCGTCAATGAATTATCAAATAGATAGATAAGCGAAGCCAATCCAAATACTTGCAGCGAATTTGACCAAAACGTATGGAAAGTTGCAGTCTATTGAAAATTGCTGACAAGCTAATTGTAGAATATAGTCATATACAATAAAAATATTTTATAAATGATATTACTGACAAATTTCACAATGATTTAAAAATTTTCTATATGTTAACTAGATTTGTTTTCAGAACAAAGAAAATGTTCTATATCGAAATGTATCATATATATATGTTGAGGCTAGTTAAGTTGAGTCAGTGCACCTGAGCACTTTTACTCTCTATTAACTGCGAGGTATCTACAAAACCCCTCTTTGCGCCTTGACTGGATTATTGTTTATCACTTCATTAGACTAGGTATCATACTTGCCTTAATATTGTCCGTTGTCGCTGTGAATCTATCAAGTCTATATGTGGCTCCGACGAGTTATCCACCATACTCCTCTCAATATCCTCTTAACTATTTTGGAAAGAAAGTTTACTATTTGTTTGTCATAATATATATATATATATATATTTTTAAAAACAATTTGATGAGATGGTACTTATAATATGATTAAATACGCATACATTAAATCCCGCCAGAAATACCACTCTTATTTCTTATCTATATCGGTAATACGTGAATTGTTTATTATTTCTCCTTAGAAAATTATAGGACGACTATTGTTTATGTTATTGCTATTCTTCGATAAAAACACAACCGATACTGAAAAATTATTAGTTCTTTTGGTTTCAATTAACTAAATGTTAATTAAATTAAAATATTTCATGTTATTATAAAAAATACTACTGGTGTCTGTTTAGAGTTAACTTTTTTGGGCCACAATTTTTTCTTTAAACTACTTTCGCAGGGTCCACAATTATATGAAAAAAATATCTTTCTTTATCATCTTGTTCCAATAAAATGGAATAAAATGGAATGTAGATGTATTCAAAGATTTAAAATCTTTTGATATTAAATTTACAATAAATTAAATATGATTATGAAAATAATATTTGTATACCATATAATAAAAGTACTTACTATGACTTGCATTGTGAAATACTCTAAAAATTCAAATAGTTAGATATTATTAAAATGATTCAGGTCAATTAATGAATGATATGGTCCAAATCAGTGACGACTGCTCTAAGGTGCGGAGGTGTGCGGTGAACACCCTAATATAATTTGCAAAATGTTAAATAACATAGGTATATAAATTTATTAAGTATCTTTACATCAAGAATTATTATTATTTATTACATTTCCATATAAATATATATTTTTAAAGTTTTAGCAAAAACAATTAAATATAATTGTCTATGAAAACTCAATTAATTTGCTTCTGTTAGCCGCTATACTTGTTAGTTGTGCTCATATATTTGCAGCTCAAATCACAGAACATTTCTATTATATTTCGTCTCTCCCCTTTGTGTGCAAAGAAGTTGGACGCACATTCATACGTTACATATGAACAAAATAATGTGCGTGTGCTCCCGTTCGTAATATCAGAAATAGAGATTTATGTAGTGGGAGAGTAATTTTCTGTTCTATTCGAATATCAACTGTATGCATACGAATCCAACATGATGATTTGCCAAAGCGGTTGCATGAGCGGCTGAAGTTTGCAGCTCATCTCACCATACATTTCTATCACATTTCGTCTCTCCCCTTTTAACAGCAGCACCCACGAATTTCTGTTCTTATTGTGCGGGGTACTTGTGCGGACATTGCAAGTGGTTTCGATTTTGTTTGATCACTGCACAAACATGTATGTTTCTAAGTACAAACTCTTTTGTTTGAAAAAATTTGGTTTGATGTTACGAGAATTATGTGAAGTTTTGTTTCTTCCATATTGATATAATATTAATCTTGTATATAAATTATTAATTTAATTTGTTTAATATGTTATTTTGTTAATGAATTGTTAATATAATATTGCGCGAATATATTGTTGCCTTATATAATATAGTTATTATTAATAAAAGATCTCATATATTTTAATATAAGTGGTACATGTAAAAACAACATTAAAGAAGGGCCGCACACCCTTCCAGATAGGGCACGCGTCGTCACTGGTCCAAATCAATTATAAGAATGCTTGTCAAAAATATATCGTTTAAAATAAGGCCTCTTTACAATTTCGATTTAACATGCTAAACTTATGCTAAACAGTAGAGTGGATAACACTTTACTTCATTTAAAATTTTAACATCAGTTAATCATGCTATATAAATCATGAAAAGGCTTGCACTTATAATTGTAGAACGTCATTAACACATTTCTTCGACGTTGCAATTTGAGAATGGATTTTGATAATTTTACATATTCTAAATAAGTTTCCAACTATGCTATATATACAAAAATGAAAATCAGCTGACTTATCGAGTTGATCTTTGTATGATCAGTATTTGTAATTTTTTGTGTTATTGCATAACAATATAAAAAATGTTCACCTTTAAACTTTGATATCTCAAGAACCAAGCTATATCGATATACATATAGCACAACATAAAGGAAATCGGAATATCTTAGATATTTACATAAATTGCAATAATGTAAACGTTCTATTAATACTAAATATAACACGAGAGTTTTGTAGGTTGTTATAGCTGTCATGTTTGTAATTTTAGCTATTAATTGTTGTTGCTTTCAATGCAAAATGAACATTTTTGACAGCTAAAATTACAAACAGAACTGTCGTTTAAACCCAATGTAAACGAAAATCAAATGTCACAAACAATTTTATTTATAAATTATTTTTAATGTAATTGAACTCCATAAAAATAACATAAAAGTTAAGTATGGTTTTGGGTCAGTTGGTTATGGTGCGCTGGCTCTGAGCTTCAAATTTGACAGAACCCGAGTTTGATTCCTGGTACTTGCAGTCCCAAAAAAAATTGTTTACGAATAATTAAATGCAAAAAATATTTTCAAGACCACTGATTATGGGTATTTGGCAATACTCGAGTTTTATGGTCAGCCAAAAATACAATTAATTAAAACAATATAAAACGAATTTTTGTTGTTCTAGTTCACTACTGTTGGAAAAACTTCTTTTTGTAAATAAATTATTAAAAATATTATTAAAAATAAATATATGAAATTATATATATAACCCAGAAATTGCGTTATTTCTATGTTTATTCATATACTATTTAGTAAGATATGTCACCATATATTCTATTTATATATAATAATTCTAGGCAGTATTTTCCAATTAAAGGCAATTAAAAAATAATTGTTTTCCTTTGAGGCTAGTTTGTCACACGTACTTCCTTTATGAGGAAAATGCCTAAATTCACGCAATAACACACAGGTGGCAACACTAAATTTAATTGTCAGACACAAAAAGAGGTTCTGTTTACATTTGCAGTTGCAAATTTTTCTTGTTAATAAATTGTTTAGTTTTGTTAAATATGGAGAAGCCATTAAAGATGCCGAAAGTGGCAAAGGTAATATTTATTTCTTTTATCTTTATTAGCAATTAATATGTTATTATATATTAGGTTAAAAACAAAGCGCCCGCTGAGGTGCAAATAACGGCTGAACAATTGTTGCGTGAGGCTAAAGAACGTGATCTGGAAATATTACCACCGCCTCCAAAACAGAAAATCTCTGATCCAGCCGAGTTAGCAGATTATCAACAGCGTAAACGTAAAACATTTGAAGATAATTTACGCAAAAATCGTATGGTGGTAAGCCATTGGATAAAGTACGCGCAATGGGAGGAATCGCAAAAAGAGATACATCGTGCTCGATCTATATGGGAACGAGCACTAGATAATGAACACCGAAATATCACAATTTGGCTGAAATATGCCGAAATGGAAATGAAAAATAAGCAAGTCAATCATGCACGTAATCTGTGGGATCGCGCTGTAACAATAATGCCTCGTGTTAATCAATTCTGGTATAAATATACCTATATGGAAGAGATGTTAGAGAATATAGCTGGGGCTAGGCAAGTATTTGAACGTTGGATGGAATGGCAACCAGAGGAACAGGCATGGCAGACGTATGTAAATTTTGAATTACGCTATAAGGAAATCGATAGAGCTCGAGCCATATATGAACGGTTTGTGTACGTACATCCTGATGTTAAAAATTGGATTAAATTTGCACGTTTTGAAGAGTCGCATGGTTTCATACATGGATCACGGAGAGTTTTTGAGCGCGCAGTAGAATTCTTTGGAGATGACTACATTGACGAACGTTTATTTATTGCATTTGCACGCTTCGAGGAGGGTCAGAAAGAACATGATAGGGCACGTGTTATATACAAATATGCACTCGATCATTTGCCTAAGGAACAAACAAAAGAATTATATAAGGCATATACGATACATGAAAAGAAATACGGTGATAGAGCCGGTATAGAAGATGTTATTGTATCGAAACGGAAATTCCAGTATGAACAAGAAGTAGCCATAAATCCGCAGAACTACGATGCTTGGTTTGATTACTTGCGACTTATAGAAGGTTTGAATATAACTGAAAGTTAAATTATTATTTTTAATAAATTTTTTTTCTTTTAGCTGAAGGTGACTATGACATAATACGTGAGATTTATGAACGCGCAATTTCAAATGTACCTCCTGGTAATGAGAAGAACTACTGGCGGAGGTACATATATCTCTGGATTAATTATGCTTTGTTCGAAGAACTAGAAGCTGAAGATATAGAACGTACACGACAAATATATAAAACGTGTCTTGAACTTTTACCGCATAAAAAATTTACATTCAGCAAAGTCTGGTTATATTATGCACAGTTCGAAATACGTTGTAAAGACTTGCAGCGTGCACGTAAAATACTAGGTATGGGTTTAGGAATGTGTCCACATGACAAATTATTTCGTGGATATATTGAACTTGAAATTCAGCTACGTGAGTTCGATCGTTGCAGATTGCTCTATGAAAAGTTTCTCGAGTTCGGACCAGAAAATTGTGTTACATGGATGAAATTCGCTGAACTAGAAACATTGCTTGGGGACATTGATAGAGCTCGTGCTATTTTTGAACTTGCAGTGCAACAACCGCGTTTAGATATGCCAGAGCTTTTATGGAAAGCTTATATAGATTTTGAAGTAGCACAAGAAGAATATGACTTCGCCAGACAATTATATGAACGATTACTTGAACGCACACATCATGTTAAAGTTTGGATGTCGTACGCTAAATTTGAGTTGACTGCATGTACAACAGAATCAAGTGAAGATGATTCCACACTGTTTAGAAGTTTGGCACGCAGCGTTTATAGACGTGCCAATGATACATTAAGACAAACTGGTGACAAAGAATCAAGGGTTTTATTACTAGAAGCATGGAGGGATTTTGAAGTTGAAACTGGAGAGGAAGATGAGTTAGAGAAAGTTATAGCAAAGATGCCACGACGTGTTAAGAAACGACAGAAAATTGTATCAGAGGATGGTGTTGAAGAAGGCTGGGAAGAAGTCTTTGATTACATATTTCCAGAGGATGAAATGGCACGTCCTAATTTGAAACTTTTAGCAGCAGCGAAAATGTGGAAAAAACTTAAAGAAAGTAATGACCCGTCAGAAAATACGGAAAGCGAAAGTTCTGACCAAATATAAATAATATTGAAACGATTAATAATAAACGATTAAATGGTAAAGCAAATAAAACAACTTATAAGTTTTACTTTATATCATTTATTTATCTATGTAAATTCTAAACGGCTGAGATGAATATAAAATAATTAAAAAAAAAAAATTATGCCTTTTTACAAATAGACAAAAGAATGTCATATAAGAGTAAATAAATAAATTTATATTCAAATAAAATAGTTCTCTCTTAATGATTTGGTTTTTTGCGGATTAAATATTAACATTAAATGAAGCATTTATACTTTTTGTAATACATCAACAAATTATGCAGGAACAATCCACTGTTTTTCAACTTTTATAGTTCATTAAATTTAAAATATTTTTCCTTGCTTCGTAAAGTCTATTGTTATCTGCATCTCATTCCACAATATATTTAAATGCTACATTTAACGGATAACACATTCCATAAATATTTCATATAAAATAATTATTTTTTAATTTCAAAATAGAGAATTTATTAGGTATATACCGACTTACAGGCGTTTCAACTAATTTCAAAATTCCTTAGAATACATATTATTTTTATTTAAACTTTTTAAAGTATGGACGAAGTTTTTCAAAGAAACATTATTTTTCTATAGTTAAAAAGTATGTTTGCAACATTTCTACATAATTCATATACTTAATACTGTTTTTTATAAACTCTATTTCAAAATAAGATGTTTAAAAGGAAAAAATATATCGTATTGATGCTTTTTAAAAAAATCGAACCATTATTGGTATTAAAGAACTGATGCAATTAATTTATGATTAATATTTTTCAGCTGCAGTGTTATACTAAATTGCTAGTTGTGATAGGCTTTTTAAAAGGTGACAAAATCGTTGATCGTGTAGTATAGTATAGTGTTGTATATATAATTTATATTGAGAATATAGTCTAAAGTATCCAAAATGGTGCTATTATGTTTTTTTATTTAAGACAAACGGGTCACCAAATTTTTGTACATAGTTCTAGTCAAAGATTTAAGTCTAACATGTATCTTTAATTACATATAAGCAGGGATCGAAATTAATAGTTATTTCCAAGAGTTGAAATATTTTATGTTCACGTTAAAAAAAATTAAATACAGTCAAACTTCCATAACACGAACTTCTCTATAACTCGAATAAAAATATTGTCACGTGCCAATAGGAATGTGGGAAAATATTCTAATACTTGAATTTTTGTTTTAAATATAAATCCATTTTGGTATTAAAAAAAGAAAAAATGCTTAATTTTTTCTTCTTTATGCAAATGCCAGTCGCTGGCATTTATGCAAATGCATAGAACTGACATTTCTTCCACCGAATGTGACCTCAAAATTGCAACCGCCTGAACATGGAGTAATGCAAAATATAATGTGTAACTATTCTCTAACTAGAAAACTTCATAACTCGAACCTTTTCTTTGCAAAACGGTACTTCGAGCTATAGAAGTTTGACTGTATTTCATTATCTTTCTTTACAAATCAACACATCAACGCGTCTTTTGATACTATATGGTTCCAAAGAGATTCAAGTCTATATTTGAAAAATTGAACTTACTGATATTAAAAAATATTAATTAAAAACATATTTCAATGTTTTTAAAAATATACAATCATTTTTCCTAAACAAAATAAAAACAGTATTAAGTAAATTCTATATATTGCAAAATAAATATTATATTTGGTATTAGTTTAATGAATAGTACCAAATATTTTTTATATAATGAATTACTAAATTAGTTTTAAATTTTTATCAATGATTTCATAAATCTGAATTTATGAAGAAAAATGAACATTTTTAAAGTAATTATTTAATTACACAAATGATTTAGGTTTATTTAATTTTTTTTTCACACAAATTTTATTTAAAAACAGCAAAATGCTGTATTCTGTTTTATAAAATAATTATTAAAATTACAATATTAAAACATAAATTTTTTTGTAATATTTCGATATTTGTTTAAAATTATAGAATTATGTTCACATAGAGCAACAAATACTGAAGTAAAAACATAAATTTAAGCGCAGAAAATTATTTCAGTATATATAAGGTTAATATATAAATAAAAACAAATAAATTAAAATATGTATTCAATTACATATAATATTGCATAAATAAATGTGACCATAAAACTGAATTTTAAAACAAATAAGTTAATACTTTACATTTTATGAGATTTTATTACATTTATATAAAAAATGTACGTGCAAAGTAACTGAATTGCTTTAATTATTTAATTATAAATTTAAAATGTTCAAATCATTGAGCTTGTCAAAATATTAATCATTTAAATTTCAAAGGCGCTCAAGAGGTTCTTTTTTTAAATTATTCTTTTAACTGATATATATTCTATATTAAGCTGAAGCTATTCAAAACTTTAGCTTTCTACTTTTGGAATTTCTTCTTTATTAGTTTCATCCTTTGTGTCGATCTTATTATTAGTTTTTTTGTCATTTATATCCTGTAAAAAGATTTAACAACGATTGAAAATTTGTTAATTAATTATTGTTAATGTTAATTGAATTTAATAAATATCAACATATTTCTTAATATGCTTTTTCTTAAGCAAAATATACATATACATATAAAATAATGATAAAATATAAATTAAAATAAAACGTTAAGGTTAACTTAAATAATATCATATGATCATTTATAATAATATTTACAAAGAGGAAAAAAACTATAACATTTCTTATATGTATATACATATATAAAATAAATAAAAATATGTACTTTAAAAGAATGTTGACTAAACTCAAATATGTTGAAATATATTTTATCTAATATTTGCTCTATGCTCTTCTCTTATCAGGAGCGATGATACTAACTAGCTAAATAATAATAATTTTACATTTTAAGTTTTTTAAAGAATTATAAAACTATAATATTTCTTATATATAAAAAATAAATAGAAATATGTACTTTAAAACAATGTTGACTAAACTCAAATATGTTGATGCTCTTCTCTTATCAGGAGCGATGATAACCAGCTAAATAATAATAACAATTTTATAATTTAAGTTTTTTAAAGAGATTTTTCGAACAGTAGTGAACTGCAACAACAAAAATGCATTTTATATTATTTTAAATCATTGCCTTTTTGACTGACCATACAACTGTTTCAAGTATTCCCAATCCCCATCATAAATGGTCTTGGATATATTTCTTGTATTTCATTATTCGTAATTAATTTTTTGTGACTGCAAGTATCAGGAATTGAATTCGTACCCTGCCAAATTGAAAGCTCAGAGTCAGCGCAACTTAACCAACTGACCCAAAGCGGTAATTGATTTTTATGTTCGCACATATTATTGGATTTTTGTTAATATGCTGTGAAAGTTATAATAACAAATTCACTTGCTGTGTTTATATTAGAACGAAATCATAAACCGACTGTAGAATAATTGAATTAATTAATCATATTTTGATTTTTAATCGTTAAATTTCATTACTATTCTGTTTGTAGAGGCATTATTTGTTGCATGATTTATATATTCTTTATTATGTATAGAACCTAATCTAGGAACATAATATCGAGAAAGTCATGTTAATGTTACTCTACGATTCTCACGGACGAGACCAATATTTTGTGAATATAAGTTTTAAGTTTTTTAAAAACATTTATATAGAAATCGAGTTTCGAGTTGAAGTTGTTATATTTCCGCTATGAACGAAAACAGAGGACTAGATTATTATTACAGCTCATCACAACTTAATGAAGTTTTTAGATTATTATTCAGTTTGCTCTCTTTGAGGCGGTTTCTCAAAGAAAAAATATTTATTTTTATTTAATGTTCACAAAAAAAAATTATTTCTAGAAAGTTAACTGAACACACGGAATCCGTATTACTAAGAACAAAAACGTTTATGAATATTAATCATTTTGGACCTCAATTGCTAGAAAATATCAAAAATTGTTATTTTTTATTTTGGAAATGGGGAGCTTAAAGAAAATAATGCTGTGTTACCTATTTTTTGTTAAGAAATATTTTCTTCAAAAAGAAAATCGTTCCGTATCGCAAGGATGAGACTTAGGCTATGCTTATCTACTCATTTATAGAAAAGTAGGCTAAAAGCATGAAATTGGGTTTTCTTGAAATAAAAAAAATGGGTTTTTTTAAATTAGCTTCAATAAAACGTTGATTAATCATAGCAGAGAATTTAGTGTCGTACAGTCTAATTAATATAGATATGATATCAGCAATAAAATAGATATCATAGCAATAAAATAGATTGCATAAATAATATAGAGAAATGTGTCGTACCACCTTACAATTCGTTTGCGTTGATCATTGCCACAAACGTACGAAGTTCTACACTATCGTACACAAGACAACATAGTTCTTGCTGCATGTTGTATATTTGTACATAGTTTTTGCATATGTATTATTGCTTTTTAATCTTCTTAATTTAATAAGTTCACGACTTAATTTAAACATCTAGTGAAAAGAAAAGAATAAAATAAAATAATAAGAATTAACAGAATAATAGTTGGGAAATAAAGGTCCAGTTGAGCTTTAACATATCTGGACAAAATCTGATTTATTAGATTAGATTTTGTATGATTACAAAACAGTTTCAAAATTTTTGCAGACCATTTGTTTTGTCCAAACGAAAAAAAAAAATACTTTATCTGAAAATATCTTTAACAAAAGTTAGAGATATGTTTAATTATCATGCTAATATAACCAGTAACCAGTAATGTGATAATAAAAAATGCAAGGTAATGAAAATTTCATTTAGCACACGAATAAAACTGGAGCAGAAATGCTCCAAATTGGTTCTTAAGGTAATAGAGATGCACCAAATCGAAATTGTTTAAAAAAATGCTCAATAAACTGCACATGCAAAGAAAAATATATATATAACAGAGTTTGATAGATCAACAATTGTGAAGAAAGTAACAACACCAACTGTAGATATTTCTCATATAATACTAAAAAAAATGTTACTAATGTTGAGACATAAATCTATATACATACATACTTAAAAAAAATATAATATAAAATAATAAATAAATATTGTTGTTCTTATTTTATATCATTATTAATAGAAAAATAAGATATTATTTATATTGAAACAATTGTGGCGATAAAATGTCAATAGTTATTCTGCAAAAAAAATTAAAGCTATAAATATGAGCAGATTTACCTTAGTTTGAGCAGCCGAAGCTACAGTTTTAAGATAAGCCTCTCGTGCTGCGTCGTATAAACCGACAAATTTGTCCCGTTGCAGTTTGAATTGAGCAAAAAGCTCATCGTCCTTATTTCCTTTTAAACGATTTTCTATATCAATTTTTTTCTCATATTCTTTACGTATTTCATCTGTTACCCATGGCTTATCAATCGGATATTGATTGACCAAATTTTTTAATGTTTTAATTGTATTCTTACTCTTAGTAGATTTTTTTACTACTTTCGAATTTGTTTTCTTTAGCTTACCAACACCATTGTACGGTAGTGCTGGTGGACCATGAGGCGGCATCATAGGTGGTTTAAAGTTAATTGGCGGTGGATGTGGCAAAGGCATGTTTCGTCCGTTTCGTCTAAAATAAGGTGGTGGTGGCGGTTGTACGCCACCCATAGGTGGCATTGGTGGCATCGGTGGTATCATTGGTGGTTGAAAATTATGTGGCATCGGTGGCATAGGTCCCATTGGACCTTGATGAAGACCAAAACCCATTGGAGGCATACGTCGACCACGATTTGGCCCATTTCTATTTTGCATATTATTGAAATTATTATTCAACATTTTGCCATTAAATCTGTCATGCGCTCCACCACCATTACGTCCTAATCCATTTTTATGATTCCAATTTTTACTTCCATTTTTCTGTTGTGACTGTTGCATGTTAATTTGTTTATTTTTTTGCCTATTTTTCTTCTTTTTTTGTTGCAACGATCCACTATTTTGGTTTGACGTACCCGAAACTGGATTGTTGAAATCTGTGTAGCCCGGATTATCAGGAATTTGTGTACCATTAAACATGATTTGGTTCAAAGATTTTGTGGGTGGCTTATTATATGGCATTGTTGCTAGTTTATGTTGTATCTTGCCGTGCTGAAAATTTTTCTTCGACACCATTTCAATAGTGATCCTGAAAGCAACTCCTGTTATGAAAATGTTTTGCTATAAATGTTACCTTATTAAAAACGTCTGCAATTTAATTAATGAAGCTAATTTATTATATGCACAAAAAATGTCAAGTAATAGCAAAAATAAAATGTTTTGTTTTTCCTGGAACAAGCAAAATGACAGCTGAAAAATTAAATAATATATATCGATAACTGTTTCGAATCTCACACAACCCAGTACAAAATTTTAAGTAAAACAATGCTATGATTCGCCATTAATACATTTCGTTATTTGTTACATAAATACTACATGTTCTTTAGGAAAAGTATTTACTCGAAAATCTGAGTATCAGAGTCTAACCGATAGAGAATGTATCTGAAATATGTATTTGAAGGTTAATTTTTTTTTTCAAGGACCATGTTTTATAGAACGTCTCGGGCACAGCAAAATTGGCTCTTTCTGGCTATGCCGAAAATGCATGTTATGTAGACTGTCACATCAGTATTTCCAATTTCGTATTTTTACAGTGTTTTGATAATTTTTGGTTGTACCTAAATTTCAAGGGAAATGTAGATATGCTCACTTTCAATTTGCCAGCAAAAATAACCAGCAGGAAAAAACTTATAGAGGCTGTAATATATATTATTATATTAACTTATAATAATTGTTAACAGTACTTATAAAATTATACGCCTTTCCTTAAAATCGGAAAGTGTAATAATTAAATTTTTTAGCGGTTTATAAAATAGACTGTGTTGCTTACTGCCATTTTTTCTGATAAACGTGTAGAAATTGGAATAATTTGCCAAAAAAACTAATTTTGAAATTTATTACTAATCAATACTGCTTTGCCATAGTGTCGAGGCACAAATACCACGCCTCTCATGTCAGAATTTGAACCGATATATAGTTTTTTCTCTCAAGCTTGATTTTATGATTTGCATTAAAAACAACAACAATTTTGCTCATGCCGTGCCCGAAACACTCTACATGGCCCCAAGTTTAACAGATTATACTTTTTTGAGAGTCTGGAAATCTATTTCAAAATAGATTTCAAAATTAATTTAAAAGTGGTTACCTCGTATGAGGAATTGTTAAGTTAGTTTTAAGCGCGGAGGAGGCTATCATTTTTGAGTATCATTCAAGAGAAAAAATCCATGAATGATACTTAAAAATGACAGTCTGCCCATTTGAATGACATGTAATCAACTTTAGCTTCTCGCCAACATGTTGTGAATGATAGTTTGTCATTCAAAAACTTGCATTCATCATTCAAGAGCATATTTTTGCGTAGTTGCACTAAAAACTTACCATGTACGCAAACACCCTTATTCTTTAAAAACTTTGATTGACTGACACATCTTTACTGTGTTCGGTCGCTAGAATAAATTTGAGCAAAAAGGAGCGTGACTTGCTTGATAGTTAAATCTGCAAGTCTACACCGCGCTTTATTGTTTTTCTGGGCACGATCTCGGAGGCCTGTTATGTAGACAGTCATATCACAATACCTAATTTCTTACTATTATGATTCTATGCGGTTGTACATAAATTTAAGAGGTAATAATTCAAATATGCTCCTGAAAAGTGAAAATTGTGACGTTTATTAGTGAAAAGCATTGTTTTAAGCAATGTGACGAGGTACAGAAAACCTTAACCACAGTTTAAACAAAATTTCTCTCTTGCTCCATATATTCAATTTTTAATTTATATTGAAAACAACAACAATATTACATTTGATATTACAATTATTATTTAAATAATAGTTTCTTAAACAGACGATAAAATAATTGTATTTTACCGTACATTTTCTTGTCCTTGGCTTGCACTATTCAATTATTAAGTTTTGAATATTTATAAAATGAAAAATATCTTTTAACCAAAGGATTCCTTACAAATTGCTTCTATTAACGTGGTTATTGTATGAAAAACATCATTGAAGCGCAAAAAAAAAGTTTTCAGAAAGTAATATCATGTTTTTACTGTAGCTAAAATTACTTCTGTTAATAAAATTAATGGATTTATGCATGGGAAATACAACATTTACATGAGCAAAACCGCCTGTAAGAGACAAGTGGAAACATGGTATAATGGATAAAACTTCTAACACCCTGAACACTTCAAACCCTGTTATGAAAGAAACAGAGCGTGATCTAGAGACTGATTTGTGACGATGTCAGTGACTTCGGGAATTTTACTCGTCTGGTTTTAATCCAGTTTGAAGAGTTGTTCCTCCTGAAAAGAACGAGTAAATAATTCTTTACCTGATAAGATGTCTGCATCAAACATCGCTATATTTAAAGTATTAAAGTAAGGGTTAAAAATCTATATGGCATTGGTGAAGATGTAGATGTTGATGGTAAAAGTAAAAGTTAAAGCATTTTCGTTTATTGCTTCCCAAAATTCTATGAATTTTGGTGAACCACAACCTAGAACGGTCGGCATTAAAACATGAACCCCTCGCATTTATGGGAATTGAACTGCCAAAAAAAAGTGTAAATGATTGGAAAGGACACTACTTCTTCTTTACCTTTAGATTTTGTAGAAAAGTCTTTTATGTATAAACTTTAAAAAAAAAAATTAATATTTAATTTAATTTAATATATAATTAATTTTTATAAAAATTCTTTTATACTAATAGAAAAATGAATTCGTTCAAGGTACTTTAAAAATGAGAAGAAGGACTGACTTTTATCTATCGTTATTATGTGAAATGGTATAACGGCATTAACTACATGGAAGAACAAATTTTGCGTCAATATTTTTTCGATTTCTTCCCTTTTACATACAAGTAAGCGTATACACAATATTTCAGTAGTAGCCAATAATAGTTATACTATACGCACCGAAAATATAGATCCATAATCCACACATTCGTTTATCGTCACTTTGATAAACTTGCTGTATTTTTAGTTAATTGCCGATTTATCTCTACACTATAGAAATGACTAGAAATTACCTCTCAATGCAATTTTTTAATTATACACACCCGTATATTTAAACAATTCTAATATTTGCATATTCATATTGGTGGTTCTCGTTGAATAAACAGTACATTATTCAAAAACTAGAAGAAAGGTAAATATCAGTTGCTTAAGACCTAAGCGTATACTAGTGCATTCAGTGAAACTCTTCCTATACTGATTATCATCTGATCAACACTATATTAAGTGCACGAAGGTTTATAGGCTCTCAACGATGGCATGTCGCGAGAAGTGCTACAAATAAATGATTCCATCCAAAAGGAACTATAAAAACAGTTCCCTGCAGTCTACAACAATAACGCAAGGAAGGTCAATTATGGTTGGGTGCATGGGGACTGCATCTACTTTGTTAACATAGATATATGTATATCTATTCTATCACTCTAGCATCTGTATTCCAATATTTTAAGCGGAAGTTTTCGTCATCGTAATAGCTCGTTCTTTCACTGCTTTCCATTGGCTTTTCATAGTCAGTCAGTTATTAAAGCTTTTCCATCAATCTGTTACAATTCACAAATTTAGCGAAATTACTAACTTATTATTTCAAAGGTTATTGTTTTGTAGATAAAAGATTGACAAGGCACTTCACTGACCTAGATTTACCAAATATTGTATATATAATCCCGATATTACTTTGGGTTGAGTTGTCGTTTATGTAAATATAATAGCTAAAGACCATGCTGATAATCTACCATGACTGACCGCCTCTTCGTAGAACATTCTGCTTAAGTGACTGTTCCTGTCAATCTTAGATGAATATTGATTTATGTTTAGTGAAGCCTGAGTATAGTAACTGTTGCTAATTATGTACTTTTAATTGCAACAATTTAGAAAATAAAAAACATTAACTAAAATATTAAAATGTGTTCATAATTAAAGGTTTTTTATTTAATAGTAAAAATAGAAGTAATACAGAATATTAAGCCAATTTTTATTATGTAAAGAAGCTTACATTAACACACATACTAATTAGATTTTTAAAATATTAATGTCAATTTTTTGAAGTCAAAAGTACAAATAGTAAATTTAGCTACATAAAGTTAAATTTTTAGATAAAAAAAAAGTAAATTAGTTGCCATTGTAATAACATTTTTTTAATAGTCAATTTTGCAAGAAAAAAATGTGTAATAACATAAACAAATTATTATGGCTTATGCTGACATTATATGTCTAAAAAAGTTATTTTAAATAAAAATTTTAAATTCAACAATCTGTTAGTAAATTTAAAAATTATATAATAATAGGCAGATTTTTTGTTGTAAGTTTTCTCGAACTCATAATATTTGCTGGCGAATGTGGCGATGAACGATGCGACAATGAAGAAATATCCTTAACGTTAGGCTTGGACGGAGTACGTAAATTGCGGGGTTTCGGCAAAGTTATAAGTCTTGCTGCTTCTGTTGGTTGTTGATGGCGTATATCTTTGCTACGCTCTGAAATGACTGGACCTGACTTCGAATGAATTACAGAGGAGCGATGAGCGGGTTCAATATTGTTCTCAAAGTATTTATAAAAATCATCTGACTGTTCATCCACATGTTCGGTGACTATAATTTGTGGTTTGTTAGGCGTTCCTGATGTTTTTGTACACTTTTTCACAGAGCGACGCTTTTTATTGGAGCCGCTATTACGATTTGGATTTCGATTTATAGTCGAACTAAGTACACGAAGTTTTTTCATTGGTGACTTAAATGCCTGTTTTTTTGCGGATATACCATTTGATGTACCTGGTTTTAAGAAGACACTTGGACTGTTCATAGCCTGCATTAAGCTTCGTTTTGCTGTTGGTATAACTTTTTCTGTGTTGGCCATTTTACGTTTAAGCGATGAAGCGACTTTTGTTCCCGTCAGATTTGTTACGGAAGGAGTTTTTTTAATTGAAGCTACTGAGCTGTTTTTAATAGACATTGGAGTACGTGTTACTGATAGCGTTGTTTGAGCATTTTTGCGTGCACTTGTGCGCTGTTCCTTGTCCTGACGCTTTTTCTCCCATTCATTGGACATAACGTCTATGATATTTTCACCATAAACCAAGAAAGGCCTATGTTCTCGAACTTCATATTCTTTCACTAATTCAGTGATTTTTTGCTCAATTTTTGGTAATTTTGTTGCAATCGTTTTTCGTTCCTTTTCTTCCTTTAATAACTGTCCACCACGATTATTATAACGTCCTGGTTCTGTAGCTTTATTTTCCAATGCCGTCATACGTTCCCAAAGTATCTTTCGATTTTCAAATAGTTCGAAAATCTCTTGATTTGTTTCGTAGTAAGATTGCAAATCATCCAGCTCCATTTCATGCAAAACCAGTAAATCGTCTGTGTAACAGTTGCTATGAAAATTCGAAAAGCGGTTCTGTTCTACTTTCGACTTAAGCGTTTTGTCCCACCATTGCGTTATTTGATCACGTAATTGGTGTACATATAATTTAATGTTTTGACTTTTCAATGCTTCACATCTTTGAACTTCATTGTAATATATATCAAATGTTTTTTGCGTGTAATCATTTAAGTGTGCAAATTTATTTCGTGTGTTTTTCGTAGTGTTTAAACGATCCCACAGTTTTTCTAATTTCTCGCGCATGCTATCTATGCGCTCACGTACCTCTTCTACCTGTGCGCCAAAGCGTTGTTGCATGCGCCTTAATCCATTGAATGTGTCCTCATTGAGTTTTATCTGACGATCATTTAAAAGTCTATCTTCAGCATCGGTGTTTACTTTCAACTCTAGTATTTGCAAATAATTCTTAATTTCTCTACGTAAAATGGATAAATCATTTAAGCGGCTTAAACGTACACTTTGAAGTTCCTTTAAGTGACTACGGAAACCAACAATTTCATCTTCCGAAGGCAAAGGGTCTTCTAAAAGTGGACGTGGTTCTAGTCCAAGCTCCTCGCAAAACGCTTCCTGTTGCAGTAACAACTCACAAATTTCCTCGCGTCTTTGACGCAAACATTCACGTAAATCACGCAAACTTTTATCCAACTCCGATTGCCACATTATTAAAGGCGCCTCAGGCCCAACGCATGGTAATTCCACTTCAGTTTTTAATAAACGCCGCAAATTTTCCGCCTCGCATTTCAAATCATTTATTTCCTTTTCCACGTTTGCTTTTTTCTCTTCAGACTCGGTAACTAAATCATCAAAAAATATTTGTATATGTCGTGCCAACTTACACAAATTGTCTTTGCACATTTCGATTGGAAACATTTTATTCCAAATCTGTGTTAATTTCACAACATTCATTTTTGTTAATATTTCTACATCATATATCTCTTTTTGAAATGGATCTGCCATTTTCTCTGATTTTACAACAAATAATAATAATCTTCTAATTTTTCAATCAAACGTTCCGCTTGCCACTAATTTCTCAATGTTGCCGCTTTTAACTACAGTTATTAAAAATTCGAAGTCAAATTATTTGAAATTAGTGATGTCATTTAAACTTATCGATAAAAAAAATATGTTTGACTACTTAGTTCAACAATACAGGGTTGCATTTTTAAATATACATTATCTTTATAAGCATTGGATATGACCACACTTGAGTAAAATTAAAAATTAAAAATATGTTTTGATCAGTGACGATTGCTCTAAGTTGCGGAGCAACTTGTTAATTATTAAATAAAATATATAAATTCATAAATAATTCATAATTATAATTCATATAACATTTAAATATATAAACTGCTAAAGAATTGCAAAATGTTAAATAAAATATATAAATTCATTAGAATGTCTTTACATCGAGACTTAATATGTATAACATTTAAATATATAAACTGCTAAAGAATTGCAAATTGTTAAATAAAATATATAAATTCATTAGAATGTCTTTACATCAAGACTTAACATTTATAACATTTAAATACATAAACTGCTAAAAAATTGCAAAATATTAAATAAAATATATAAATTCATTAAAATATCTTTACATCGAGACTTAATATTTATAATAGTTAAATATATATACTCCTAAGGAATTGCAAAATGTTAAATAATATATATAAATTCATTAAAATATCATCGAGACCTAATATTTATAACATTTAAATATATAAACTGCTAAAGAATTGCAAAATGTTAAATAAAATATATAAATTCATTAAAATGTCCTTACATCGAGACTTAACATTTATAATATTTAAATATATATACTCCTAAGGAATTGCAAAATGTTAAATAAAATATATAAATTCATTAAAATATCCTTACATCAAGACTTAACATTTATAACATTTAAATATATAAACTGCTACAGAATTGCAAAATGTTAAATAAAATGTATAAATTCATTAAAATGTCTTTACATCGAGACTAATATTTATAACATTTAAATACATAAACTGTTGAAAAATTGCAAAATGTTAAATAAAATATATAAATTCATTAAAATGTCTACATCGAGAATTAATATTTATAACATTTAAATTATATATTGCTAAAGAGAAAGTTTTAGCAAAATCAATCAAATATAATTGTCTATGAAAACTCAATCAATTTGCTTCTCTTAGCTGCTATAGTTGTTAGTTGTGCTCATATGTTTGCAGCTCAAACCGCAGAATATTTGTATTATATTTTGTCGTTCCGCTTTAAACAATTGCATTTATAAATTTTTGTCCTTAGGTGTGCGCAACAGAGCACACGCACGTTGTGTGCTCTCGTTTGCAATATGAGAAATAAAATGTTTTTTTTTTTTGCAGTAGCTGGAAGCATCGAAAACCACCGTGTGAGACTTGAATCCACTAAACCATCTTTAAGGAATGAAAGGAGAAGATTTTTACAGCAAAGAGGAAACTTCATTCCAGTAGACGAAGGAGAGAGAAGAGAGTAAAGAGACTTAACACCTTGCAAGTTAGGTTCATCTTTCAGTAATTATGGGCATAAAATAAGGAAAATTGGAAGTAGTGGAACGGGTGGGGTTATGGCAAAAGCGCAAGTGTACTAAAGGTAGACTCTGTGACCAGGGTCACGAGAGCTATGGTTGTATAAGGGGATGACGGAGGGATCTGAGTCCCACTCGTCAAGTTAATGAGAGATGAATTGGGAGTTTATAGCGTAAAGAGTAAGAGTAATTGGAGGAGAGAGGTTGTGGAACCCGGTGAGATACCTACTACCTACGGGCGAATGAGAGAAAGTACTCGTCAATGCGAGTAATTTTGTGAAATATAGTGGGATATGTATGAGAGTTATATTCTGTCACGTGTCGTCTCTGGTTTTTGAAATTTTACTCATGATTCGATGCTGTTAAAACTGGTGATGGTGATGAAACTAATACGTTAAGAAAATTTTTTTCCTGTCATTTTTTGGTATTTTAGTTTTATATTTATACGATCAGGGATGTTGAGCTCTGTCAGATACTCATTTTTCTACTGGAGGAACGTACTTGTGTATACACAGAGGTACTTGAAATTGCTACAAATAACTCGTGAAACTTGTAAAAAAGAGATTTAGTAATTTGCTCGTGGTGAATGTAATAAAATTTGTCAGTGAAAAAATTTGTATTTACATTGAATAAATTCAGTTATTGAAGATAAATAAATATGCAATTTTATAATTATATTAAAAATTTTTATTTCTTATTTTTATAATTTTTCTATAGTTTTCATAATATAAAATTTAAAAATTTTCATGTCGTTGGAAATTTTTATATTGATATTTGAGTAAAAATTTTTGCTCTATCTTAATTTTTCAACCTTTTTCCATTTTTCAAATCTATAAAAAAATAATAATATAAAATTATATTTAATCTTGCACAAAATTTCTGTTTTTTTTTAAATTCACTGCAAAATTTATGGTAAATAAAATATGACGAAAGTGTGCACCAAAGCATACCTTAGACTAAAAAAAGTGCAACAAGCATCAAAAATAAATTCACCAAAACTGATCTTCAAAAATTATTCAAGTTTGCCAGTGACAATTTAGATATGCTCAATAAAGCCTATTCACACAGCATAAGTAATTGTAATTTAGTTCGTTCACTTCGCTTCGTTAAAAATATGTTACACATCACATCAAAATGCTATGATAATTTTGTTTCACATTGATATTATTTTAAAGAAAGTGTTTAACGTTACAGCAATGGTTCTATTTTGTCACTTGTTCTATTATTATGAATAATTATTTTATTTTTAACTAAATTTAAATATAGAACTGCCTTAATACGATATTCATAGGCTAAATCAAAACTTTTTCACTACTCTGCACATTAACCGCTATGTTTTTTTTTGGGATCTTTTTAGCCTGTCTATGAACACCACTAATATGGTGGTATCGTAACAGGCCATTATTTGAGCTCTAATGGACTTTGGTGTACAAGGACGTCATTCCAACCTAAACTAACGTAGTCAAAACAATGTTCACTAATAAATGTAAGAATTTTTGTCTTTTATACCACGTTCCTACTACATAGAACATATTCTTTAATTATATTCCATTGGCATAAGTTGATTTATGCATTTGAAAAAGTTTTTATATGTCAGATAGTTCTGTAAAAGTTCTAGGAGAGCTTTTGTTTGTTTATATTTCATTAGTTAGTGGATGATGTAAAACGCAGAAAATACAATTTTCCTTAATTAAGTTTGAAATTAAGAAAGCTCTTTGTATTGTTAATCATTTTCAATAGCTACCTAAATCAAGTAAACTGCTCTAATAAAGGCAATGGGAACATACTTTAAGCAGCAAATATGTATATTTGTGTGCTCACAGATTGCTCGGAAGGATGAAAAATTATATGTATATTTGTTGTTTTTAATGTTAAAAGAACATTTTTAATTAAATTTTATTTTTTCTTTCTTGTATTTAACACGAAGTAAAGAAAAACAATATTAGTTGTATAGGCAGAAATATAAGTCAACTTAATATGAAACATTTATAAAATGGACTCCCTAATTTGTGTATTTTAGATTATCGCAGTTGTAAATAATTTTTAGCATTAAAATTTTCTATTAGCCAAAATTGTAAAAACATAAAAATGATTATGTTTTTAGGAATTCTACAATAAATTACAAAGTCTGCTTATAGAATGATATTTAATTGAATTTATTAAAATTATGATTGCACTAAGTATAATCTACTTGAACATTAATGTTGATGAATGAATATAAAAATGTACAGAAAGATTTTAATATAATTTTTTAATTCATTTGTAGATATCTCATATCGTTTTTCTAAAGGGAATGCTCAATATTTTGATTCCTTAACTTAAAAGCATTCTATAATTATAGTTAAATTATAATACAATTATGATTTAATTTAAATTCCTCAACATCAAGCATTTGAATAAAGTACTTTAATAGTACTTTAAATATGGTTTAACCTGATCGAACCGTCGAACATCAAGCTCGAGAATGCTTGAACTCAACCATGTGGGACAGCATGACGAGATACTCAAAAATATTCGAGTATCTATTATTATAATTATTTTTATAACATGAAAATTCGATTTTACAACATCTTCAAGCAGTTCGAACATTTAAAGTGTTTGATCTAAATGTTCGAATTAGAGTATATTCGAACTGTTTAAACATTGTAATGCTCGAACACTTTAAAACAGGAATATTTTTTAATAACTAAATAATATATGTATTTGGAACATAATGCCAAACAAAAAAAAAACGCCCAATAATATATATAGAAATACCTAGGAAGTTTCCATATATGGATATTGAGCTTGAAGTGTAGTTTCGGGTTGCTTTTGCTCCATAACCATGTTTAGTTCAGTTTGTGCCATTGGCATTTGAGCTGGCATTTCTATTTGTGGTTGTGCTAATGTTTGTAACGCAGGCAGAGGATGAAATTTTTGTAAGCGACCTGTTGATGACTCCATATGTGTCCCATGTGCGGTTAGTGCATGCTGTCGCAGGCCATACATTTGCAAAAACCCAGCATCACACTGATTACATTTAAAACGCTCTCCAGTATGCCGACGTATATGCGCTTTTAAGTCGTTACTCTGTGTAAAACTTTTTGGACATTGATCGCATTTGAATGGACGTTCTCCAGTATGAGTTCGCATATGTATAGTTAAATTATAAGCACGGTGGAAACGTTTCCCGCAAAGAGTGCATAGATTTGGTTTTGTGCCTGTATGATATCTAAAAACAAAAAAAAATACATAAGGGATAGGCGAACTAATGCTGTTGATTTTTTGCAAACCTTTCATGAACTTTTACATCAGTTGCACGAGGAAAACCTTTGCCACAGTACTGACATTTGTATGGTTTTTCACCTGTATGTCTGTGATAGAAATATTTTAATGTTAGGGTATTAAAAAATGGTATATGGTAGAAGTACTAACCTTCTCATATGTACAACAAGGTAATCATTACGAACAAAACTCTCACCACATATTGAACATAAATAATTACGTTCACCACTATGCGTTTTTTCATGTTCTCGAAATTGTTTTCTATCTCTAAATGTCTCTTCACAATGTTTGCATGCAAAAATTCGATCAGTATGCAATAATCTATGTTTGCGTAAATAATTTTTTGTCATAAATTTCTTATTGCAAAAATCACAACTATGAATTTTATGCAGGTTGGGTTCATCTCCATGTTTGATTTCTTTGTGACGTTCTAAAGAGTCACTCTTTGCAAATGCAGCATCGCATTTATCACACTTAAACTCCTTAGCATTATGTACATTCAGTACATGTGCTTTTAGATGATCACTCCTAGCAAAGCGTTTAGAACAATGTGGGCAAGCATGAGGTTTCTCCGCGAGATGTGTTAACATATGTCGCCTTAAATGACAATGTCGGGAAAATGTGCGATTACATTCATGACACCGATTTGCCTCCCTATTGTTTTCTCCACTTTTGTTACGATGTTTTTCCTCTTTAGCGCGTAGCTCTAAGTATTCCTTTACAATTATAACCTTATGTCTATGCTCATCAATAACAGAATTATTATATATCGGTAGTTCACTGATTTGTATGTTATTAGATAAACTATTGCTTGTTATTGAAGCAATATCATTTGTTTCAGGTTTAATACAGTCTTTTAACGGATTGCTGGCATCTTCTGGTTCAACTAAATAAAAACATATTAGAATAAATTTGAAATACATATTTTCACCATATTACCTTTAATATAATTTTCAAATATCGATTTTGAATCAGTTGCACAATTGTTGTCTTCTTTTAATGAATTAGACTCATCTAAATTATCCTCCTTCTTTGTACTAATTTCATTAGGTTGCAAGTCGATTTCTGGCTCTTCCAGTAATTCTTTTGAACTAAGTTAAATTACTTTTAAAAAAAATTCAATGTTATTATCTCTTTAATTCATACTCTTCTAAATCCTGTTTGTGTATTTTTATTAAATGTCGTTTTAAAAACCCTTTACTAGTAAAAGTACGTTTACATAAATTGCACGAAATTTCATCAGTGTTACTGGTCGATTTTTCCGTAGTTGATTGAAAATTATTTTCATTAGATTCAACTAAAAATATAAACAAAAATACGTTAGTTATTTATTATAAATTTCAAAATTAAGAAAATTAAATATAAACAATGGTATATAGGCGATGGTTCCAATGGCGATCGAGTTGACGTTGTGAAAGCACATGTCTATACAAATGGAATTAAAAACATCTGCACAAATGTCAATTGATCCTTTGTATAGATGTGTGGTTCCAGGACGTAAACTCAATCGTTCTTGGAAGTATCACCTATGTGTTATCTATATCACTAAATGTTATTTGCACAGATGTTTTCAATGTGTCCCAACAGTGACACAAAAAGAGGATCTCAGCTACAAAAACAGTAACATATATATAATAACAAATAAAGAATACCTTTTATAATAACCTCAGGTTCAGCAGCTAAAATCTTGTCAGCAACACTATAATCGAAGTGATCATCATCGCTTGATATTGGATTAGGTTCAAACATGTCTTTATCCATATTATGCTCGTAATCATTGAAGTTTGGCCAAAGCGGCGCAGCTGTTGTTGTATCTACATTTTTACCAATTTCTACATCAATTTCTGGTTCCTCTAGTGAAGTTTTTGTGCTAATGAAATATATTTTATTAAATAAAAATTCATGTAGTACAGTAGCGATAATGCGAACAATCAAAAACTATGGATCTTCACTATATGTAGTAAAACTACATGTATCTAAATTATTTTTTAAAAATCTTTTTGATATTTTGCATTCCCTGAGTTTCACAATATTTACTTTTTACCCATAGATTCGCTATTATTATAAATTTTAGAGCGAACTGTTATATATACCATACTTCATTACTGAATAGTTTAAATTAAACAATCCGTTGAAAACATTTGGAAAGTTAGTAAAATTTTCACTTTTAAACTACACAAAATCACATATTTATATATGATTTATAGATATTTTCTATCCTATGACTTTTAAAATAATAGCTTTTCGTCAATGGATTTGGGATGATTCGATTTTTTAGAAGGAACTGTTATACACATTTCATTTTTAATTAATTCAATTTGAACAATCTCTTGAAAGTATTTGTTTATTTTGTAATATTCACTACAAAACTTCTATAATCTTTTACTAAATTTATAAGGAATATGCAGTCTTATATTTAAATTTAAATAATTAGAAATCATATAGTATATTTATTACAACTTTTAAACGAGATTTAAATAAGATTTCACAATAACTACGCGTTATTACAGTCTAAATCATATTGTGGTTCCCAACGCATATTTACCGTCCCTAGCTATTTCTGTAAATTCTCACGAGAACTAGTTTATAATTTATATTGTAAGACGTAGAAAATATTTGTTGAAAATATTTTAACTACTCTTTATAAGATCAATGTTAGTTAATGTTGACAACATACAATGGAAGATAATGGAAGATATTATCACAAATTCACTTAAACGCTACAGCACTGTATTTATTTCTTTATTGATATTTACTTTTCGTAGTTGACTTTGTGAATGTTACGCATATGTCGCCTTAGATGATCTTTACGTGAAAACTTTCGATGACATAAGCGACACACAATCTCTGACATAAGTCCCTCTTTAGGATGGACTTGCATCACATGGCTTCGCAGTTGACGAAGACGCATGAATTTTTCACCACAAACGCTACATTCTTTAGTGTTACCACGATGTTCTACCAAACGGTGTTCCCTTAAGTCTGAGGAATCAAAAAACTTTTGTCCACACATCTCGCATGGATGTATCGATATTTTTTCTGTCTGTGTTGAGTTGTCCATAGAAGATTGAGGCGTATAGTTTGGATTTATATCAGCAACTGAATCAAACATATTGGTTAGTATGCGATAAGACTTTTCAGCTTGTCTCCTAAACTTGAAGGCAATCTTTGCCGTTTCCATGCAGTTACCACAAATTTGATGAGGCATATTATCGAACCGTTCGACTTTATATCTCGTGCATTCAGACAGTAATTGTGACATTGTTACACCATCAACAGCAAACGTCTCATCAAAAATTAAAACTAAATCGAATTTTTCCTGCAAGCAGACACGACATATGCGGTCCAGTTCCAACTTGCCACTTATTGAGGAGCTCATTTTAATATTTTGTAAATTATACACACAGTGCAGCACAAAACATTTATATTGCTCAAGTATAACAATTTAACAAATTATTATATATAGTGTTATATATAGAGTTCTTCATTCGTTTTACTAGATAGCCTACATATTTTCTTTTATTTCTTATTTGATATCACAAAACACAAGCCTTTAATAACAAGTGTTGAAATGTTGCCAGACAATTTAAATTCTAAATGATTATAATAATTATAAATATAGTTAAGTTTAAATACATACATTGTAGTAAATTCGCGTAAAAAATCATAAAAAATATAGAAATGTATTGGTTTCATTAACTTTTTAATAACCTCAGTAGTAGTTAAATGCGTAAATCAACAAATGGCGTAAACTGTGCGAAAAGTGTTATACAAATATCTAGGTTTGTGTCTAGTATAAAATACAGAAGAATTATTAAAAAAAGCAGTTTTTTTTTATTACAAAAAATTTAAATGATCTTTGTATCTGAGAAAAATGTTGAATTCGATATAGCATTTACAACCAATTTGTGCCTTTTAGATGTCCAATTAAGTATACATTTTTTTATAACTTTTAAAAATCCCTTTTCCCACAAAAGGGCTTTTAGAACGATTACAATTTCTAGGGCACCGCGAATTGTAGTCGAATTTTGAGAAAATCTAAAAAACTTCTTTCATTATATTTAATATAGCTTCATTCATAATACATCAACCTTTAATATGGAAACGTTTACATTGATTACACAAACAAGAACTAAACGACTAACAACTAGACGCTTTGGAAAGCTTAGGGGAACGGACGTATGCCTCACAGAGGGCCAATTAAACTTAAATTGACATTGTTAGCTGTCAAACAATAATGCCAAGGATGGTTTCTCATTTACTAACTATTAAAACACCTTGAACTAAGACCAAGGTGAAGCATAAAAGTTCGGCTCAAAAAGGTATAATTATTTAACTAATCTGCTTACTTTCCTAAATACTTCCCGTTTATGTTACATTAGAGGTATATTGGAATTATTTAATGCTTTAAATAAAGCGTTGAATAAATAAAAAATGTCGAGAAATACCCATGTTTAAACAAATAAAATAAAACAAATTTAATTTAAAAAAAAAAATGCAACTTTTAGATTTAATAAGTTGATATGCGCAACAGTGGTTTCAAAATTACCTAATCAAAAAAGTTCTGAACTGTTATATCCAAAAATTGCATTAAAAGAATTATTTCATTATACTACAATATACTTTTACAAAAACTTGTTGTTAGAAAAGAACTACTGCGGTTATGATAGCATTGCTTCGTCACACTAGAATTTCAACACCCTGTTACTTCATATCCTAAGTGTTTTAGTCATTAATGCACTAACATTGCAAATCAACCTACGAATTGGTAATTCTAAATGGTAATGGTACTCTAAGCACCTTGTCAGTTATTGATATACATATAAAAGTAGATCATTATTTCAAGATATATGAAGAGCCATTAAGATCCAAGTTTTTATAGTTATCAAATAACTCCCAAAGAGAATTATATTATCTCCAAATCATTATTTCAAGATATAAGAAAAACCATTAAGATTCAAGTTTTTATAGTTATCAAATGACTCCCAAAGAGAATTATCTTAAATAAATTATCCCTAAATAACTAGCTATACTCGAGATCTGAATTTTTTTCTTTTTGAATTAAAGTGCGAAGTAGTGCTAGAAATATCAAATCCAGGCCGTAAAACTAGTAAGATATTAGTACTCTAGCTGAATTGTTGAAAAGTTTCAAAGCTCATTCAGAGTTAACATAGTTTAATACCTTTTTTAAATAAAATTAGCATTTCTTATTGAAAACTGTGATATGACAATCTACACCAATAGTCACTTGCATCTATATTTACCAGTGACTCTTCAGGACCTTCTTTAAAAATGAAGAAAACAAATTCAGTACAAAAAACAATAATTATAAACTGAATTAAATTTACTGATTTAATTTTTAATGCTGTTAAATAATCATCATCAGTGATTTTATTTCATTCAAAATTAATTATTTTTATACAAATGCCTGTCAGGATTCGAATTATATTAATTAAAAAATATTAAGCCATTTTATTTTGTCAATGATTTGATAAAAATCTATTCAAATTTATATAAAATTATTAATTAATGCACATTAAGTGCAACACTGACAAAATTGGTTAATCTTTTTTAATGTGCATTAATTAACAATTTTATATAAATTTGGATAGATTTTTATCAAATCTTACTAGAAAAAAACTGAATTAATCGGCACTGTTTTAAATGTAGCAATTATTTAAAAACTATACTGATATTCAGTTATGTTTATAAATTTAGACATATATTTTATATATCGTGCGTGATGGGAAAATCTCTTACTTTTCTTTGGAATTTTTTAACAGCAAAAATATTTATATAGAATATATACAGAATTTTCAAACGTAACGAAACCAGTTATACCCTTATGTCTACATAAGTAAGAACACATTATGTTTATTTTTAAATTATTATTTACAGTAATTTAATATATGGTGCAAAACTTTTGGTGAAAGTCCAAAATTCCAAAAAAAAAGAGTCAACTCTTCCTGTAATATCTAAATCAGGTTATGAAAAATGTTTCGACAAAAAAGTTTAAATGTCTAATATACAGTTTTACCATTTAATAATAATAATAATTATAGTTAATTTAAAAAAAAATAAAATATATTATATTGAAATTTTTTTACAAATTATTCAAAAACAAAAAAAAACAATAAATCGCTATTACTATTTCTTATATGGTAAATTCGTGTTTTGTAAAATTCATCAGAAATTCAATATTAACTTTTATTTATTTTTCTTTATAATATGTTTTTTTTTATAAATATAAAAACGTTAATGATTATTCTATAAATAAGATATTTAAATAGAGTTTAAAAGATAGAAATTAGTTATAATAATTATTATTATAAAATTAAGCATGAATGATTTAGAGAGCAAGTTTTATAACACTATAATTGCTAAAAGCTTTGTGTTTTCATGTAAGATTTATACAATTTTAAGTCTTTCGGTGGGAAAGTGAAAGTTATTATAAATCACTCTAACCACTATAATAATAAAAAATAGTGCTAGTGAACATGTGATTTCATAATTGTAAAAAATCGTCAAAACAAAAATATTTTTTAAATGTGAAGTTTTTATATGAATTAAAAGTACCTTTCTATTAAAAATTTTTTCTATCATTTACCACCTTTATAAATTTGCTATTATGTTAAGGATAAGCAATTAAGTAGCCAATCAAGCAGTGAATAAATTTATTTAATACTTTTGTTTTTAAGTCCAAACAAGAAGTCAATGGTCACTATGGTTACTATTAAAAATATCTAACTAAAAAATGTGAAACTAAAAAGATTTAACAAAGGAAATGAGGCATGGAACGATAATGATTATAAAACTTAACTTGAATGCAGTTCTAACAATCTCACCTTTAAAAGGCTATAAATACAATTTAATTTTCGATGTTTTCTTTTCTAATATATTTAATTTAGTATAGGTGAGACTATTGGTAGGTAAGGGTTTTCGTTTAAGTCTTGATTTATGAACCTATGAAGCTGCAATATGTTCACATAATTTCTGTATTTGGAAATAAACAGCATCACATTGATCATTTTTTTACAACGCCATGTGATTCCAGTGCATGTCTATTTAAGTTAGTAATATTAGTGTAAGTCTTCAAGCATTTTTGACATTTGAAAGGACGATCGATAGTGTGGTGGGTCTGCATATGTATTTTCAAAAACTTTGATTGATGAAAATTTTTTCCACAAATCTTGCACACAATTTCTTTTAGTTTTGAATGATGTCTAAAAATAAAATAATTATAATCATCGCTCTATAATAATAATACTAATACTATTATGTATAATTTACCTTTCATGTATTTTTAATTCCAATTCATTACTAAAACTTTTGTCGCAGTATTGGCATTTGCATGGTGTTGCACGGTCGTGTCTAAAAGAAAAAAATTTTATTTTAACACAATTAAAATTGAATTCAATAATAATACAAACATTTTCATATGTCTTTTAAGATGTGGTTTACTCGAAAGAACTTTTCCACATGTGGAACACGGCCAGCTAACTGTTTCACACACCCGAGATGCTATGTGCTGACGTAAGTTCAATTCACGACAAAATACGGTACTACAATTCCGACACTGATGTGTTTCTGCTTTATTTGAGTTCTTACACTTCTTAGATGCAACATGTTGATTTAAGTTAACCCTACGAGAAAATATTCTATTGCAACTATTGCAACGAAATGTTGCACCATTACCAGATTTCTTGCATATTTTAGACGACAAGTGTTGCAATAAATTAAGTCTACGAGAAAATGTACGTTTGCAGTTTTTACAAGAAAATATTTCTTCATTATTTGGTGCCTTGCATTTTTTAAATGACAAATGTTGTACTAAGTTAACTCTACGAGCAAATATGCGTTTACATATATCGCAACTAAACTTTTTATTCCCTATTCGCTCACATTTTTTAGCTGACAAATGTTGCCACAAGTTAGACTTACGAGCAAATGTACGATTGCATCTAGGACAATTAATTGTATTTAATTCGGCTTTGAAGAGTTTTTCTTTCTTAGGACGTTTCAATTCATTTGAATTTTCCATAGCAACATCAGGTGGTTCAAAGTTATGATGTATTGTTAAAAGACTATTATCAGGTGGTTCAGCTGTAAGGAATGACTTATATGCTATATATTCATTTTTGATTTATAGTTAGTTACAAACTTACTTTCATTTAATGATTCAATATTGCTGTCTGTGTTTGTATTTATTTCTTTAAGTACAGGTTTAAAATCTTCCACCTCCAGTTCTCCATCTAGCTCTTCAGCTTCTGCAACTTCATTTGAGCTATAATATATTATTCAATGAAAGAAGTTAATTCAATTAAAATATAATTTATTTTTTACCATTCCAAATCTTGATTGTGTATTTCAAATAAATGTTTATTTAAAAACTCCATCGTGAAAAAGTTCCGTTTGCATAAATGACAAGAAAAATGTTTTTGTTTTAAATCCGTGCCAATTTGCAACGACGTCGCTGTCATTGTATTTGCACATTTTTTTAAAGGTGAAATTTCACTTGAGGAAACTGACTGGCTTTTGGTTGTAGAAGTCATATATGCCGTGTAGGAAAACTCAGTTATTAGAGAAGCCTCACGAGGTATTTCATTTAAAAGGCGTGGGGACAGTTCAGCATTTGGACCAGAGTTGTTTTCATTTGATGTAACTAAAACAGAGTAACTTAAGTGAGATTCTGTATTCTATTTAGTGTAGGCATTTATACTATACTAATTTTCTACTACTGAGAGAGAAAGATCATTGATTATGTTTACAATAATATTTCCACAATCAGTGTTGCAACAGAAAATATATAATATAATATATATTACCTTTTGTAACATCCATAGACTCTACAGTTGAAATATTTTCAACACCAGTGTTATCATAATTATCATCTATTGAAATTTCATCATACTCAAACATAGTGGTTTTTTCCACTTTAGTCTCATACTCTTCAAAGTCTGTCTGAATTGTCGCTAAGGAGTTTTTGAAATTCGCGTTATTTCTTTCATCAGCTTTCGGGCTCAACAGTGATATTGTTGGGCTGTATAAATGTAATAAAAATATGCAGAATATGTTTAATGAATACAAATTTAATATTAAAATGAGAGAAAAACTTTATAATTGGAAAAAAGTAACAACTGTTTGGTTGAATACTATCATTCATACACTGTGACCTTATTTGTTAGTGATCAGGTTTAATTTTTTAAATAATTATACGAACAAACCAATATATTTGAGCAAGTAATTTAGTTTGCAGTATTAAATTGTTTATTAAGAACAATGCACTTCTTCTTACCATTTTTTCACATATTTGTATAGTTTTTTTTGTAAAAATTGCATACTAGCACATATATTGTATTTAAAATGATCATAAACAACATAAAAATGTTATGTGAAATTAAAAAGAAAATAGAAGCGGCTATAGTATAGTTTCTGTTAATTCTCATTGTATGTTCCAACTTCAGCTCTATTACTCGTGACGCTGCCTAGCAGTTCTCATGCCTATCCTAATATATGTATTAAGTTGTGCGCTATTAATTATTGAATCTGATTCATTGAAGAGCTTCAGGTTCCTCAGGTTCACGGTGACCCAGACTAATTACACTTAAAATCCATCCCATTAAAACCCATTTAAAAGCTCCATCTTATCCTTACCCCCAAATAACTCTTTATATTTAAACTCTACTTTCACCCAAACACATTCCAACCCATATATTTGTTTTGTTATTGCTTTCATTTCCTGCTTTTTAAATCTATACAAGTTAAAACCTCAAATACAAGTTTGCTTAGAAGAGTAGTTGATGTAGATTACGATAGGCGCTCGATCTGGCGACAGTCGTTGTTTGCATGGTCTATATTTTATATGTACAATTATTGTAAAAATTTTTAATTTTAAGACTCTATCGCCTTATATCAATAGTGGAAACAGTTACAGACAATAGCGATTTAATCAAACAATTATTATTTCCTTTAATAAAACAAAAAATTAAGTATATATATATATTTCAAAGTGTTTACCTTTCGCATGTCTGATTATGAGTACTTTGCGTTTGACGCAAGGGGCATGAATTGTCCTTAGGCTGGATTTGCATTATATCATTTCGCAATTGACAAAGGCGTGTAAATTTGTCACCACACACGTTACAATCATCTTGCTTGCAGGGATGTCTTAATAAATGATGTTCTATTAAATCTGATGAATCAGAAAATTTTTCTCCACACATATTGCAAGGATATATTGATATGTTATCAGTTTGAGTAGAAATCTCCATAGAAGATCGACCTCTTACATTTGGATTGACACCAACTGACGTAAACATCATTGTTAGAGTTTGATGAGATTTTTCTGCTTGCTGTTGAAATTTGTATACAAATATTGCCTTATCCACGCACTTACCACATATATGATGTGGAAAACTATCGAAAGCGTTTACACTATAATTGGTGCATTGTGTGAGCAATTGCGGCATTTTGACACCATCAACTGAAAACTGTTCATCAAAAATAAAAAATAGATCCGTCTTGTATTGTAAACAGACGCGACAAATTCGATCTAAAATCAATTGTCGGTTTGGCATGAAACTCATTTTTGACGGTGTTAATTAACATTCAGAATATAAAATAAAAGAAATATATTGTTTCTGGTTAAATTTATTTAATCACTTCAAAATTTTTACTGTAGCTGAACGAAATTTTCGCAAGTTTTGTGTTTCACTTTTGACATAAAGAAGCGCAAGCCAACAACGACAAGTGTAAAAGGTTGCCAGACTGCAAGTTTGTCAAAAGTAATCTTGAAATTTTAGCTGCCCATTTCATTTGATCACATAATTATAATTTTTTTTATAGAATGCATTCTTCTAGAAGAAAAAAAATTATTGTTCTTTGACTTTGAGCCAATTATATTAAGCATTAGTATATGAATTTCGTGAGAAAAATAACACAAATCCGTAAACAATTATCGTATTAAAACTTGTTTAATAATTGCTACTGGTAATAATAGGTCCTTTCGGTAGCTTTAATGTGTGGCAAAAAAAAAAAAACAGCAAGTTCTTACTATAGGCACTAATTGAGATAAATATTTTCGCAAACAGCAAATTTTGCATATGTGCACATAATGCAAGCAAACTACTTTTGCATAAAAATTACTAATTAATATAAAATGAATAATGAATTTAAAGCATTGTTATACTATGTTCAGACACACGTTTACTTCGCAAAAATCTTAATTTTATCTTCGTTTCAACGAAATTTAGTTGTTTTTTCCATACAAATTTCAGTTTACAGGTAAGAATAAAATTAAGGAAAATGACCTTAAATTCGTTGAAACGAAGGCTGAAATTTAGGGACATTTCAAATGCAACTATGCGTAAGATAAATTTGAAGCAAAAGATAAAGTTGAGATGACAAAAAAGTGAAATTTTTTTGAAATAAATGTCAGTGACAGTTGGCTTTAATAAAACGGAGAAATATTTTGAAAGTAGTGTAAATTTTTAAATTTGAATACAGAGAAAAAACTCTAAATGTTATTAATTTAAAATAGAGTAAAAAATAATAATTCACATACCACACTAAAGCTAATAAAACTACTGATTGTCATTCTTTATAGTTATAATAATTAACCAGATTTTAAAATTTACCAGATACAAATGGTGTTTGGATAATGTAATTTATAACATTCGATTTATAAACAAAAAACATATGGTTTCTTTAATTTGTGACATTATGAACACTTTCGAAATTAACTTAATTTCATTTTTACGAAGTTATTCATTTTTTGACTATCAGTTACAGCACGTTAACTATCAATAGTATATTCTTTATTTAAAATTTACCAGATACAAATGGTGTTTCGATTTATAAACAAAAAAACATATGATTTCCTTAATTTGTGGCAGTATAAAAACTTTCGGAATTAACTTAGTTTCATTTTTACGAAATTAAGGAAATTTTAATTCTTCATTTAATCTTAAAATATGTTACCAGTAACTTAATGAATAGGAAACCATTATCTTCAAATAATTTATATAATTTTGTTATGAGACTGTAAAATTCATATGAACAGCAAAATTTTAACCAAAATGAGAAAATATTAAACATCGTCAACATCTAATAACGTCATGGTATGCAGTAATTATTATATTTTAAATTTTCACAAAAATATGGCAAATATTTTAAGTTTTAGTAATTTTCTTAGTAAGAAATTGATTTTTAAGAGATGTTCATTTCATATGAAAGCTTTTTGTACTGAAAATACTCCACATTAGTGGCCTTAATGAGCAAAACTACTTAAATGAGACATGGATAAATGGAAATATAGAAAGACGTGATTTTGGAATTTATCTAATACGAAGTTATCTAAATACGAATCCATTTATGACAATAATACTATGTTTACATTGTGAGATTAAGTGAACGAGATTAATTTAATCTGCATTTTTAATCTCCACCGTTTACATAATACATTGGAGATTAATTTTGACGTTCCTCTTGTTGTTTTTTGGTTTGTGCGTTTGATAAATGTCTGTAAATAAAGCATTTAATTACAATTTTGTATAAAAAAATTGTTATATATATTCAATAAATAGTTTTATAACAATAATTTAAGAAATTTTAGTTATAATTATGTATAAAACTATTATTAAACAAATTTAACAGAAATTTCATTCACTTCGGAATTTTCAATACTTCTTTTGAATAGATTTTGACATATTTCTTTAAGATCGTAAAAAATCTACAACATTAAAACATTTCTTCTAAGATCGCAAAAAAATCTACGACATTAAGGCATTTGCAGAGTTGCATTGAGAAATAATCATCATTTTGAAAGAGATTTAAAACTAATCTCGACGAAAAGGAGATTAACTTTTGTATGGTGAAATCTGAGATTAACAACGAGGTTAGTACTTTAATCTCGATTTTTGCTTTAATCTACTTTTAATTACACAATGTAAACGCCGTATTAATTACATTTTTGTGATCCAAGCTTAACCTGAAGATACTAGGTCTGTTCCACGAGTTACTCGTAGTAAAACTCAAGTAAAGTACAAACTGAGAGCGTAACACAAATAAAGAGACAAGCTATTTACACAGATTTTTATGGAACAGTTTTGTATAAAATCTGGTGAGAACACCAGTGCTGCGCAAATGAACAATACAAAAACAATAAAATTGAAAGCAAAACAGCTGATTAACTCACACATCAACACAAATTCTATTTGAACTAAAGTGTACGAGTAAAGTCTGTGTAGCATTTTTAAATTTCGACAAGGATGTTATACTCTCTGAGATGCTCTTATTTACTCGAAAATTTGCAACGCACTTGTGTTTACACAGTGTTACTCAAAATTATAAGTGATAATAAGTGAAGCTCGTGGAACAGACCTACTATGAGCAAACAAATCTGATTTGTATCAAGGAATTTTGTGTTACATGCAAACTAACTGGGGATGGTGCGCCTTTTTGAAAGAAATTCTTTGTTTACCATTTACATATTTAACATATTAAAAATTAGTATGAAGTAAACAAAATTAAATTAAAGTTTTTGGGGAACTAGTATTACTTGTAAATGCAAAAATATTTTTATAATTATTGTTAACATATAATTTAAAAAAATAAATGTAAAAATGGATATGAATAAAATATGTCGGGTATGCTTGAGGGAAGATCAAGACATGCTATTGATATTTGAAGAAAAGTATACAAATAATGTTGAAGCAAATCTTAGTATAGCAGCAATGTTATCAGAAATAACAATTTATAAGGTGCAATATCAATATATAAATTTTAAGAACATTTTTAAATAATTCAGTTTACAGGTACAACGTTTCGATGAATTACCCCATTTAATCTGTAGTGGTTGTTTTTTGGCTACACAAAATGCATTTGCTTTTAAACGCAGTTGTGAAAAGTCTTACCGGCAGCTTGTCACATTGTTAGGCAATAATGAACTCAATCTCAATTCTAATATCGACGGAAACAGACTTGATAATAGCACTCAAACAGTCGACACCTGCTTGTACCCATGTGAACGGTGCGATGAGAAGTTTTTCACATTTTACGAGCTAAAAGTAAATGAGTTTTATATTCAATATTAGAATTTTTAAGCTTATATTTTAAAATTTACAGAGTCATAGAGACAAAGAACATAAAGGCAGTGATATCATTTGTCGATATTGTTCAAAGAGATTTAATCGTATTGGATATTTGAAAACGCATATTGCTATATTTCATCCGGAGATTGGCTTAAGGTCTCATCTCCAATGTCACATATGCAAACGTCAATTTACACGAAGTCAACATCTAAAACGGCATTTAGCTTTACTACATAAGTACAGTGAAGAGAAATGCGATCTGAAGGATGAAAATACGATAGAAGAAAGTACGTTGGATAAAAAAATTTTAATGGAAGAGGAAAAGTAAATTTATAAACTAATGTCACTAATTGATTATTATTAATAGTTACGCTTAGTTTTGATAGCAAATTATTCTATCCTGGGTTTAATGATCAAACTGAAGACAAAAATTTTGAATCCGGTAGTGATAATGAAAATATAGATTCACAAACTGATGTTTCAAATCTATTACTTCCAAAAAGTGAAGATGAAGATAAAAAACTAGTAACGGAATTTTTTAATAAAAACCCTTCAAGCGGTTTTACGGAAGGTACTATCATTTTGCAAATTCTAAGTGTTATTTATAAAATATTTTTAATTACAGTGTTGTTAAATAATACATTTGGAGAATATAATTTAACAGAAAATACGATAGATCCTACAGAAATAAAATCTGAAAAACTTCAGCCAACAATTGAAAATAGTTTAGATGCATTAGATTTGCCTATAAAACGTAGACGTGGGCGTCCACGAAGAAAAAGTAATACTGCTACTACCACCACCACCACTAGTCCTATTAACGATAAAAAATATAAATGTAGTGAGTGTGACAAACGATTTTCACATGAGAGCAACTTAAAACGTCATAAACTGAACCATGAGATACGCTGCAAAATTTGTTCACTGAACTTTTCTAGTCCAGATAACTTGACAGATCACATTCAAGCTACGCATAATGCAACAAAACTATTGAATTGTGAAAACTGTGATGAAATATTTACACGTGATGATCAATTAAAAGAACATTATAAAACTAAACATAAAGAAAAAACACACAAATGTGATAAATGTAACAAAACTTTCAGGACAAAACCATTTCTACAACGGCATCTTGCAACACATGGTAATAAACGTTATGTTTGCAAGGAATGCTTACAGGATTTTAGTAGTAAGGATGACTTGAATTCCCATATAAAGATGGCAGGTCATGATAAGCCATTATTATGTCCAGAGTGTGGTTTACGTTGCAAAACAAGTACTATACTCCTAGTGCATATGAGACGTCATACCGGAGAAAAACCGTTTAAATGTAAATTTTGCAGTAAAGGTTTTCCACGTATGGATGATTTACGGGTACATGAAAGGTATTATACTTTATTCTCAGCTTTATAAAATTTATGGTGAATGATAATAAATTTCTTCAGATAAGAAGAAATTTGTATTACATACTTAACAACATCCGTTTATTCATTTTAATGTTTTGTAAGCCATTTTTATTTTATCTTACATCACCATTGGTTGTGGCTCTGAGGATGAGGAGGAGACTGTACTCCATCTCATGTGTCAGTGCCCTTCCCTAGCCAGAAGAAGATTAAAAATCCTTGGATCTCCTTTTCTAACTGACCTGACTGAGTTGTCATCCTGTAATGTTAGGGACCTAGCCAAGTTCATAGAACTGTCAGGTTGGTTTTCCTTTACCTAATAGGGGAGTCGTTACCTTTCTTCGGCGTTAAATGTATACTGATTAAAATCTATATACAAATAACTCCTGTGGTACCACAATGGGCCTTTATTTGGGATACAAGGCCGCAACTCCAACCTATACCTATACCTACATCTCCATTATATTGTTATTTTTGTTGTAGTTCGTAAGGATCTATAAAACAAATAACATTAATGAAATAATACGACATTGGTTAGAATGTGGATAGGTATTGGTGGTGTGAGAGGGAAGGGGATAATTTAGGAGCGAGAATTGAAAGATGCATGGGGACAATTTAAATTGAAGTCAACAGAAATGTATTATCCTTATTTAGGATGTATAATATTTTTAATTGATTCGAAAGTTAAGACCATCATTATAAATTGACCGGAGATCGGTTTGGATTGAAGGCCGCTCCGAAGACTTTGTGGATATTAATCATGAGATTGATATACACATTGTAAAACTGACAAATATCATTACGATTCAAACTTCTGATATTTGGATACTTACAAAAAACTATGATTGAAAAATGCAAAATTCAGCTATTTCAATCCATCAATATACAGAGTGCTGTTAGTATATGTCTGTAACAGCAATAACAATATTGTCCCGGAGATCGGTTTGGATTGAAGGCCGCTCCGAAGACTTTGTGAATATTAATCATGAGATTGATATACACATTGCAAAAGTAACAAAGATCATTACGATTCAAAGTATGCCGAGTTAGGGCTTGACAGTGCACTACAGTTAGATTATTATTTCTGTGAAATACTATTAGTGTATTTAAACAAGAAATACTCTAAAGCTTTCAAGTTTATTACCTTATAAAGTTCTTATAAATTATAAAGTGTGTAATGTACCTAATTATATTTAATTTGTTGATGATTCTAAAATAAAATTCTAATATTAAACGGGAAAGAACTGAAATATTAAAACTATTGAAATTAGTTACAGTAACTAAAATAAAACAAGTACTCTTTTCATTTATATTTATTAAAACAATAAAATATTTATATTTATTAATTAATATTTGTTTATTACAGATACCATACAGGTGAAAAATCTCATTTTTGTGAGACGTGCGGTAAAGGATTTCAAAGAAAATACAATTTAACAATTCACCTACGAGTGCACACTGGTGAAAAACCCTACAAATGTCCACATTGTCAGCAAGCCTTTGCACAAGGGAATGACCTAAAAGCGCATATAAGACGTCACACAGGAGAAAGATTTCGTTGTGATATTTGTGGTGGTGCTTTTCTTCAAGGCTATCAAATCCGTCAACATAAGTTAGCTGAACATGGTATAAAAGATATTCCTCCAACACAACGTGTTGCAAAATTTACATCACGCGAAGCACAAGAGAAACAAATACAACAAAATTTACAAAAAGAACTTCAGTAAGTAATAGTTAATTAATTATTGTTAAATTTAAATTGATAATGTAATATATTCAAGGGAAGCCGAGGCTATGAGTGGTAGCACAACAGAGAGTACAAAACTACAATTAGACAGTTCCAGCTAATTGAAAATAAGACCTAATAGAAATTTATAATATTAATCATTACTGAAGCTTTAAATACCAGTGTATATACTAACATTAATTAAATATGACTCTACTTTAATTTTTGGCATACTTTCAATTATAGTACAATAATTAAATATACTATTCAATAAGCGAATCTTACAAATGGTTGCTTATTTCTCTATGTGATGTAAAGAAAATCACAACAGAATAGTAGAAAATTAAGTTTTTGATATCTGTTGATTATGACCAACTGGATTAACGACTGTATCCTAAAGTTAAATTTGAATTACCACATACTCACATACAATTTGTAACCTGTTATAGTGACACATGGATGTATGGTTTATCGGTTATTACGCCCGTAGTTTAATAATATTTTAGCACTGGTTATCCATATGCTACAATAGTTTATATATATTAACAAAAATTCAAAAAGGTCGAACGAAAGTTTATCATCATTGAGGTCAAGTCCGAGAACTTAGAGTGTATGTATTCAAAATGTAATAACCAAACAAAATTTACGAATTATTTTTCACAGTGGAGAAATAATTATGTGCAGAATATGTAAAATTGATATCTACAAATTTATTTTTTAAAATACACAAATAAATGAACTATAATATAAGAATCTTTAAATATAAATGATTTATAAAATATATATTATGTTTTGGGGAATTTGCAATAGAACCTAAAAGATGTATTGTGCGCTAAAATATGCATACTACTATAAACATTACTATTATTTTTTATTTCATATTACCGCTCAAAACGATTATCAATTTTAACGACGGGTCAGTCAGTTGAGTCAGTCTCATCTATATACCGACTGTATTTCATGTAGAATAAATTACAGGCTTATAAGTAAATATTTTATTATAAGTCCCGGTGCACCATAGCGGTAAAAAACGTTCAATCTATATATATATAGCTAAGTCTGAAATATAAACAGACTTTAAAATGATTGAGGAAAGATATAGTTTAGGTTCACCGGTGCCTCTGTCAATGCGTTTCAAACATTTTACACACTATGTATGTATATATTTTTTGCTCTATTTGTTAAGAATATAAATTAATGGTCAAATATCTTAGTGCATTACGATGGTCTCAATTAAGTATAACATGTAAACAATTATAAAAATTTCACTGTACAAATTTATTAATTATAAAATATTTAAATATATAAGTAAAATAACTAAACAAATGGAAGAATTGATTCCGTATCATCTGTAGTAGAGTTAGCTTCTAATTGATGATGAGGAACTAGTATTGGTTTTGTTTCTACTGTTTCATATATGTCGTAGGATTGAACTGTTGAGGTGTTTGGTGTAGTAGTTTCACTATAACTATTTCCGGGAGAAAATGAAGCAGTCAAATCTAATTGTCCCATTTGTCCGTAAAACAACACAGTATTTATCATCTTTTCTGCAATTATAGACTGATATCGATCCATTTTTTGTAATTTAATTGCCCAAGCTTCGCTTGCTTTGGTATATTCGTTTGGTGGGTCTTTAAATTGTTTTAAAGCTAAAGTAATTAGTTTAGCTCCTCCACTTCCACTACTACTATAATCCTTTTTTTGCTCATTTATAATGTCTGTTTTTGGTTCTCCTGTAACGCGCTATAAAATATATTTATTATATATAAAATAATATTTATACATAATATATTTATAATATAGAATATATAGATTTAAGCCTTTACTAACAATTTTTTATAGTATCATTTTCAAGATTCTAAAATATACAATTGTTATAAATATTATAAATAAATGTCGATGAGATTTCTTAAAATTAATACATAGGAGAAGTTTTACAATACAAAATATTTGTTATGGGATGGGACAAACTTATCAGCTAAGTAGTCTTTATTCCTAATTTACATTTCAAGATGCAGTAAGTTTATTTTCATCAAATTGTCACCTGTTTTTTGTGAGGTGTTGCCTATATAATTCTGGACTGGTTAAAGAATTATTTAGAAGCATTAATTAGTTTCTTTCAACCCGGATTTTGCAGCGACTTCTTATATGTGGACTAATTCAACACATATCGTATTATCATTGCACAATGCGCTGAACAAAACTCAAAACTCCATCTTCTGTTTAACGACTTTGAGGAAACATTTGACAGCATCAAAAGTAAGAGAATTTGTGCTGCGCTGCGGAGGAAAATCATTCCAGCTTAACTTGTTCTAATTAACTAAAGCTACTGATTTAAAAGAAGATATGACTGGATTTGCTGTGAAAAAATGCTAACAATATAATTAAAAGGGCACTGAACGCAGTTATTTTAAAAAGCAGGTCATATCAATGTTAAACTGCGCTCCACCTAACGTCTTCAACAGTGACTCAAAATAAAGTCGCTTTATCTTCATGAAAAATATTGTTTTGTCGCAATTTATTTAACCGTGGAAATTAAGTTTGGGCTTGACTAAATTTATGGCGCATTAAACACTGGAAAGCTTTTTAGCAGGATGAGTTTATCCGTGAACTATGCTTATATATTGGCTCATCACAGTAATAATCCAAATAACTTTAGAATGGCATTTACTCTTTTCGTTTTCACACTTGGTAAATATTACTTACATTTATAAGATACTGTCTATGTACTTTTCTGTCACCAAGAAATTTCATAGCATCAAAGTACCAGAGCGTAGTACTCATATCTTTCTTATTTCCATCAGAGGTCTTTTTGATTTCTTTTATTCTTCTTAATTCCCGTTTGTAATTAGTTCTTAATATATTCATTTTCCTTAGTGCTTCTTTTCGGTCTGCCTTGGGAAACCTTTCTTGATATTTGCGTGTCAGTTGTCTAAATGCATCCTCTTTTTTAATTTTATCATTGTATTCTGCACAATTCACATCCCATAATGCAGGCAATGAGCGATAGAATTCAATGTATTCTAGTATAAAAATTTTATCTTCGTTCATTTTTAAAACCTTTAATTTTTCGACATTCATATTATTTTTCCAAACTACGTCAACCCAATATTTTCCACTTGATGCGTCAACAATGTGTCAAAACACAATATCATTTTAATCATATTGTGCGTATTCTCTGGTTTAAATGATGTGACGGTCATCATATCAATATAAATAATTTTAATAATTAATTAAAATAATTTACGAATAAATATTATATATTTCAATTAAGATTTTTCAAATAAATTAAAATATAAACATATATAATAAATATTCTTAGTTTACGGAGATTGTCATTGATTGAACACACCTTACACAAATCATATGTTGTAAATGAAGCTGTCAAAATTAGTTTTTTTTTTGGCAACTGCTGTTATGTATTTACTTTAATCTCTTGCTTCATATTTACAGATATAAAATAGACATCATGTCACTAACAAATTATAGCAAGTTTATTAATTTAGTGACGATGAATTTAAGAATTCAGCAGCAAAGTTATTTACATACATCGCCAGTGTGCTGTGAAATAAGGAAGTTGGCCCGGCTGCGTGTAGTGGACAATAGTGAAATTGGAAAGCGTGCTATGGCTGAGGGCAGACCACCGCGTTGCATTCATGTCTATAATAAAAAGTCGGTTGGAAAAATTGGAGATAAAGTACTTGTAGCAATAAAAGGTCAAATGAAAAAAGGTATACTAGTTGGACTTAAGCAAGACCAATTGCCTAAAGTGCCAAAATTCGATAGCAACAATATAGTTTTAATAGATGACAATGGCACTCCAATTGGTACTCGTATACATGTCCCAATACCAACGATTTTACGAACAATCTTAAAGGAAAAAACGCAATCTAAAGGTGCCGATTACACCAAGGTGTTGGCCATTGCTAGTCGATTTGTTTAAGTAAATGTATAGAAATTAATCTAGTAATGAATAAAAAAAAACCTTAAATGTAAAAACCCGTCGACATTTTTATTAATAAATCTAGTTAAAAAAAAATTTATAATGTACTACGCTTGCTGGGATTTTCTGCATTGCTGTCATTCTCAGTCACTAATTCTCTTTTACGTTTCTTGTTATATTCATGAACCATTTCGGATATTGGTATCTTGTTTGATTTCATCTGTAGCCATTTAGTAAACTAAAAATTAAATTGTTCATTACAATAAATAAAGTAAATGAAACTGAAATCATTACTTGTGTATTCGTATTAACTCCCGCTTCATAGAGTTTATTTTCAATATCATCCAAACGATGTTCTGGCTTGCCATCTTCTGTTGTGTTTGTTGATATATCAAGTAAGTAACGAACTCTTTGTCGCATTGTTTCAAAAACAATTCTACCAACATTATGGCTTCGATCATATGGTGTTAAATAACGACCATATTCGTAGAAATATGGATGCAGTTTTCCTAATTCTATATGTGTGGTATCTGCTTCACAGACGGCTTTATGAACATTTTTATATATATCCGGCACATTAACAGTAAAATAAGGATTGTTTATTTTTAATTCTTTTATATACCAAAGTGGTAGACTGACTGTGCTGCCGGGATTTAAATCATCCGTTTCTGCACCGGCGTCAAGAAACCCTGTTGATAAGATCAAGTTTTTTTCATAAAAAATCAAAGTATGCAACGCCATTATTGTTCCTACCCATTTTTGTTAATTTTGTATTAACTTTGCATTCTACTTTCTCTTGAGTGACAAATATGTCTTCCACCGAATAGTAATTTGGAAAGTAACTATTATTCATTTCTATATCTTCGCTTTAAATAATTATTAATATCAACTTTGTTTGAAAATACCAACTAGTTTTAAATTGGGAGCAGAATAACAAATTTATGTGGAACGTAAGTAGTATGTTCAATAAATGCACTGTATGTTCAATTTACTACACAAATGCCATCTCGCGTAATAATTGTTAGTGTCACGTACGTTTACACTTTCGAACTTATTCGGCATTACTCTCCGAAAGAGATTTTGATCTTTTGATCAAATCACTTTGTTACTTTATATTTTCGAATTTTCCTCTTGCATTCGACATTTTTGATGTAATTTCTCTTGATTTATTTGTAACTTAGTTAAAAAGCATTTAATTATACATATACTTTATCACTTTACGTCATTTTATATTTTCTTCTTGAAATATATTTTGCAAAGTTGCATTCGACATTTTTGATGTGACTTCTCTTGTAGCTAAGTTAAAACGGCTCTATGTATGGTTAATCGAATTTAATTAGTGATCTTAATCAAATACACAGCATTAATGAAGGCAATGGGAAAGGCAAGTACTATTAGGAACACTTCGTTCTAGTAAATTCTTGTGTATATATATTTGCTTCCTAAATAGACTATTATTGCAGGTGTTTGTAGTAAGTACATTATTCATAGTATTACTAACGTTATTCATAACAGACCCCTTCCCAATTTAGGATTCTAAAGTCATACTAAAATGCTAAATTTATATATCTACATTATATTTAAAACACCTGAATTTTTATTTTAATTTATTTGCACACATGAAAAGCGCTTATATATTATATTATATTCGATAATACATACTTTCTAATATTTTTGTAATAATTATAGCAGTAAATTCACAATGTCTCATTTAGGTACTTTCTCATTTGTATTAATGAACAAACGTTCATTTTATAATGAGCACATTTATGCAGGTGATAGAACTTTTATAAACTTTATTTAATAATATATCACATAAAAAAAATAAATTATAATTGATATATCAAATCATTTATATGCATTTTATTTATCAATTACTTATTTAATTAATTAAATCAAAGATTAAGTGCATAAGTAAGCACTTATATAGAAACAATATTTCAAAATGCAAATAAACAAAATAAGCATCATATTTTTTTAACTGACGAATTTGGTTAGGTTAGGTTGGAATACACCAAAGCCAACTTTAGGACTTCCGTAAAGAGCGCAGTGAACAAATCTGACAAGTCCATAACTTGGTTAAGTCCCTAATTTTGCAGAATGTGAGTTCTGTCAGATCATTAAGGAAAGGTAAAAGAAAATATAGGCATTGAAAATGAAGATGAAACTTGAATTCGTCCTTCCCTTTAGAGGCACAACTACGACAAGTGTCCTTATAGGGTAGACCTATACTCGACTCATAGCGTGTCTTTCTAACACGCAGTGACATGTCAGCCTTAATACCGTAGTGCAAAGTAGGTTCCGCATTATTAGAAGCAGTTGACTAGTACGTTTTTTTGCCCACTTTGGATCAGGTCGCTTAGCAGAGATTTGATAGCAGCTTAATTGTCCGAGAAGATCACAATATTTACATCGAGGATCTTGTTGTATAAGACTAATTTTGTTGCTCAGTGAATCGCCAATACTTTTACGTGAAAGATTTAATTTAGAAGAGAATTAAGCCACTACCAATTCTTGTATTTATTTTGTAGCTGTCGGTGTAAATGTTCACCATGACTGATCAATAAAATGGGTCATATGGTGGAAAGAATAGTTCTTCGAAATTATAAAATGTTTATGGTAAGCATATATTAAGTTTGTCCTGATGATTATAACAGTGATGAATATAATATAGCACATTTACTCCTGTATAATCAGTTAGGTAATCTACATATTCATATCTGCACGTTTATTTGTTGCATTGAATAAACTTTGTGTAAGAATTTCTTCTTGATAAGGGCAAATCGGTCTCGTAAAATTTGTTGACTATGTGAATGTAGCGACAATACTCTTTGTTTTTGAATTAATAATAAGTTTGACAGACAATAAAATAAAGTTTATAAGGCACCTGCGGTTGAAATTTGAAGTTGGATGTGGATGATATTAATAAATGAATAGTTCAGTTGCATATTAAAGAATAATCAATTTACTAATTAAGAGAACCACCAATATTTGTTTCAAAGCAAGCATAAGAAAATATAGTTACATTATCAGTTATTTTTCTGATAAGTTTGTTGTAATAATATATATATAAATATAAGTTATAATATAATATATATTATATAATATTTATTATAATAAGATAATTATGTATAATAAGATATTATATACTCTTATATCTATTAGAACTAACTTATATGGAAACTATTAACTTTTATATAGGCAAAAAAATTACAATTTCAGTTACCATAAATGTTCTAAATTCATGTAGAAGTTGATTGGGGGTACATCGATTAAAAACGTACTAAAATTTAAAGGTAAAAGTTAGATAAGAGGGTTGAAACGCCCTGATTGCAAAATGTTTGTGTATTAGAACTACAGCACACAGGATCTTGTTTTCAAATTTCACTAAGTTTTGGTCAAAAAACTGGTTTTAAAATATCTTCAACGAATACTTGATTGCTCTGTTACAGGACATAGTTTTTAAATTCGTATAAATGCTTACAACAAAATCTACATATACATAAGTTTAACTTTATTTTGGTTTAGCTAGGAACCAATAGGTTTATGCGCGGCTTAACCTAACTTTTGCTAGACAAGTTTAAACTTAATTTCGAAACAGGCCAAAGTTACCTATTACTCGTTCAAATCAATATCATAAATAACGAATTTCATCCAATGTAAAATAAGAAATTAGGACAATCCAAGATTTTGCTTATCATACTCCTACTAATATATGTGTGTCTTCAAATTTCAATAACCTAACTTACTATACTTTTTGACATATTATTAAGTAGTATATTTTATAAAAATTTTACATAACTTTTTTAATAGAATACTATTAATTTGGTACAAAAGTATAATAACATTCTAACAACCTTTACCTTTTGAGTTTCGAGATTTCTAACTTGATTTCTGTGTTTAATTCATTTTCGTTAAATCACTAGTAGCTCTTAAAATCTTATATATAAACCTACTATTTAAAAACTTTCTTGTTCTTTAATATATCTAGTAACCTACTATAAACCTTTAGCGAAGTTTTAACAAAATTACAAGCCAAAATAATTAATTTTATATTAATAATTAATACTACTACAATTATAATTGGGAATTTCATGCTCTATGATAAGAAATTCATTTCAAAAAGAAAAGAGTTTGAACATTTTTTCTCTATTACCGTCAATTATAATATTATTTAATTCAATTATTTATACAAAATATTCTTCAATTGCTATATAAAAACTTAGTTCTTAAAATTATTATCCAAACCCCCTCTACAAGATATTCGACAGCGAATCGAATAAGTAAAACAAAATATTAACAAAAACAAACAATGTTACGAAGGAAACTCAAAAGCAGTGAAAAGGGTGCTTTTCTTCTTCGAAAATAAACTACCCTTAATATAAATATGGACGAAAGCTTTCGAAGAGTAATGCTTAATATAACTGACTTAAACTTATTTAATGGTTCGCCCTTAGACAATATGAAAAATATCGAAGAAAATCAGTTCGTTACAAGAAATCGAGAAAGTTGGGTGTCAAAATAATTATTAATCCTCTACCAAAGAAAATATTATGTGGGTGTAATTTATATATAATAATTTCTCATTAGTTTAGTATAAATATTTTAAAATAATAAAAAGTGAAAAGTAAATTTAAAATTGTTTAAAATGTGAGAAATAAACTTTAAAATATTTTTGTCATTAACGTTTTTCAAAGTTTGAAGTACTTTTAATTGAAAAATCAATATTTAAAGGAAATTACATTAAAAACAATGTAAAATGAAAAAATAAATGCATTTAATTAAAATTTTTTCATTAAATGAAAAAATCTGTATACTTCAAAACGGAAAATATATGTAAAGTTTAAAAGGACTGCAAATTTTCTATCCTTCTTTCGGCATTTCAAATTCAATAGCATCGATATTTCTCTTTTCTCGTTTTTTAGGTCAACGGTGCATGATTTTTGAGTCTCTATTTATAGAGAAGATTGAAAACAAAAAGGAAAATATAAAACAAATTACAAAAAAAAAGGAAACTCGAACTTTTGCAAGTACTTTCGAAGTATTATGTTTAAGAAATTTATAAAATACTATAAAAATTAAAAATATTATATAGTCAATATATTATCAAAAGCAAAAAAAAATCAGTACAATAGGCAATATGGATAGCTGTTCGACATCTACTCGCTTAGGAAGTACTTCGCCATCGTCTTCCGTTATTTGCAAAGAGGTTTTCGATGAAACATGTCAACCATCTGCTGAAGGTAAGTCACAGAAAATATATATTTCTTGAAAAAACATTAATTAAATATAATGTTGACATATATATATATTTTATATTACTACTAGTCAAAATAATTTAATATTCTATATTTAAACTGTGTTTTAAATTAATTATTTAATTTCATGTTTTCTAAATAATTATAACTATGTTCATTATTAAAAATAGATGAAAATATTATGTAAATATTTTTATAAAAAAATGATTAATTTTTTATGTTGAAAAATTTTTCATTCATTTTTATTTTCACGACATCCCAGATGAACGAACATCTGTCCTCTTGTAATGTATGACTCTTAAAAGCCGGCTCAAAAAAGCTCTATGTTATATTTATTTATTTCAATTTCATGAATGATAAAAAGCTCTCTACCATGATAAAGTTTTGTATAATAATATTCCAGTATTAAGTTTTCGAAAAGGTAAATCAAAAATACAGCTGAACGTAAGGTAAACCTATTTATATTGCTTATTTCATAACATATTCAAATTAAAAATATAAATTATATCAATACATATATATTAATATATGTTCGAATTAATTATTAAATTGATTAATTTAAAAAAAAATTACGGTGTTTTCGCTCAGGAGTAACTACTCATGATGCCATATAAAATCCAAAAGGTCCAATAGGTCATAATTTTAAATCTTTAGTGAAGCTTAAGATAATCTTTAAGAATAATTCGTGTATCCTACAAAGATGTTTTAGAAAGTTAACCCTTAACATACATAATCTGTGCAGATATAAAGCACTTTATCTTCTTCTTCATAACTTTTTGTAGCGAAATACTCAATTTCCTATAGCAGTTTTCTAACCGACAGTGGCCCATCAGCAAGAAATTGTTTAATTATTGAAGGGATATGAATGCTAGTTTTTTTAGTTTCTTACGGTGAATTGATTTTAAATGTTATCATAATACGATTTAAAATTGTTTTATTATTACTGCATATGAGTGAAAAATTATATTAAGTGAAATTATTAATAACATGATTTAAAATTAAAGCTTCTTGGAATTGAATTAAGTACAAAATGTTTTTATAAAAATAAGTGTACAAAATTGATCTAGTTTGATTACACTTTATATTTTACGTTTATTTTTTGAATATATTGAAGTTAATTTACTAAGTGTAGAGTACACAACAGTGTTATAAATAAAAGATATATAATCATCATCATGGATTGTAAAAATATAATCAAATGGCCTAGGGGCACATATCCTAGAGGACACCCCAATCTAGACTTCATGACTTATTGTAATTTTATAAGTACATTTAAAATAGTGAATAAATGTTAAAATTCTTTTATTGATATCCAAAAATAGGGCTTTTTTTTCAGTTGTAACATATCATTATCTTTTATATTTATATTTTAAATAAATTCAAAAATTTTAATACTAGGTGTAACACAATTTTCTGCTATATATTTTTATTTAAAATTAATCAGTAATGCGAACATGAATTTCATCAATTACTTTCTTGGACATAGACCTATAAAAACTTCTCTGTCTGGGCCACCTAAAATGTATTCTTCATATTTTTTTAAATATTAGTTGCAAATATTTTTAAAAACCTAATAATTCAATCAATATATTTATGTATGGAAGTCTTCTAGCCACGGTAGTGAAAAAGAATACGATCGAATAAGCCGCGTTCCCTGTAAAACCTCTAAAAAGCGCTTGGGAAGCTTATAACTAGGTATATTAATAAAAGTGAGTTGTGAACAGAGATACTATAGAACAAGGTAATAATTAAAACGAACGATAATTTCAAGAATCGTACTTTGGCATGTTTTTTTTAGAATAGCATTCTTAAAATAGCTACTAATTTCGAAATTTCTATTGACTGTAATTGATGGAAACACGATAGCTATAGTGTTGAACTAGTCAAAACCTCTTTTTCTGATATATTATTTCATTTTCTTTAATGTATAGAAATTTATTACTTATTGAGCATAGTGGCTTATGAGGCTCTTTTAAACAGAACGTACAAGTTACAATATATTATCAGAAACTTGTATTGCAGTATAAAATGATATTTACTTTTCATTAATGGTATAATAGTATGTCTCTTCTTAGACATAGTATGTACAATGTACATGGTAATATCCTAATCTTGAAATAACGAACCTACTAAGATAAAGCTTAATATACCAGAAAAAAGTTTTAAATTAAGCTCGGTAGTAATCAAAAAGGCGACTTTTGTGCATATTAGTTAGTATTATTGATTTAATATACGATATTTTCAAAAATATTTAATAAAATTTACAATATGTTTACGAAAACTTAATTTAAGATATCAATCCAAATCATTTCTAAGAGTATGATAATTGCTGGTCATTTCTTTCCATAAAGTAAATTCAAATAGTCGTTATTATCAAGTTATATATGACTGATATTATATATTAAATAGTTTTTGCAAGTATTGTATGAGCAGTCTGAAATTGTGTTTAACTAATTTTTTTGAAGAAATTGATTAATTAATTAATTAAAAAATATGTTTTCTATTACATATTTCTTTAGTTATTCATTCTTTTTCTAACATGCCATATTGTAGTTACGACATTGATCCTAGATGTATATAAAGTTTATATACATATGACTATATATATGTATATGAGCACATATGTATACTCTGTATTATATACAATATACATATATATACAATATATACAATTATTATATACAATATCATGCATACACATTTTAAATAAATGATATATTATGTACAAATTCTATATCACATATATATATATATATATATTTATATGTATATAATTGTTTATTTATACGGCACATCAGCAACATAACGTAAAAGGAAAAAAATATTATTTGTGTGAGCTATATAATTAAATTACTTTGTGCAATGTTAATATGTTAATTAATTAATGACAGTTTATTGTAAGTTAGTTAACATGTCAATAAGTTTATGAGTTTACATAAACTCATATATTTTGCTGACCTAACACAGAAAATTATTTTTTTTTTAAATTTAATTAATTATTATAATGCATGGTAATCAATAAAATTTTTTTCTAAAAGTTTAACATTTAAATTACATTTCTCTGTAAACCGTTGAATGAGTGGTTATATTTTTCAAATAAAGACACGTTGTTCTTGAGTTAACTTATTGATATCTTTTAACTTCAACTAGTTCATTTTTAAGTTCTGTATAGATCTATTTGTTATTTGCCAAATTCTTTCAATTTTTATACGTTCATTACGTTGTTCATTGCTTTCATTTTGAATTTTTTTATAATGTTATGTTCTTTATTATGTGTTATGTTATTTAGTATCAATAATGTGAATAATGGAAGTCATATTTTTTAATTTATATTTAACTTTAACTTTAACTGCAAAATAGTTTAGTGATTAAACGATGTAATTAATTATAAATTAAGACAGTCCGGTAATTGAGAAAAATTGTGTTAGTTTAATTCGAGTAATTCGAATTTTTTTGCAGGTCTGTTAAAATATATTTACAATGTTTACCAATTATTGATGGTTTACATCGAAAAATTTCTAAATTTAAAATCCGATATACTGAAAACTAAGCTATATTGACATACACATATATTGACATGCGATTCAGATGTATTCTCAATTCGATTCAGATGTATTCTTCATTCTTATTCTTATTCTGTGAAAATCTACTATTGAGGATAACTTATCTATAGGTTTCTTAAGGTTACTCATGCACTGTATAGCTTCTAGATGTAAGTTTTCCCTGTGCAGCAGAGTTGTCCTCAAATATAAATAAGTTATTGAAATTATTTTAATGTATTATTATTTTATATTGGTAAATATTTATATGGAATTGCTTAACCAGTATAATTCAAAGAAAAGGAGATGAGCAAAACAGATGTTATTGGTTTATTATATGGAGTATTGTACTAAATACGTTGTGTGAACGAATAAATGAACAAATTAAGTTGAGAAATTCAAGTGATAATCGCATAAAGATGTGATTCCATACTTTTGATAGGGATAATAAGCAAATTTATGGAACGATTCAAACAAAAAAGGAAAATGTGCTCTTGCTAAAGATACATTTGGTCGTGCCTATACAGTTTCTTCAAATGAGTATGAAGGATTATAAAACTTTCAAAAAAAAAATTAAATATAATTTACATATACTAGAGTTATATATATATATTAATGCTAACGGAAATATGTTTGTTAAAAATGTGTTATAATACAATATGATAGCCTAACCTAACTAATGTATGTTAACCATTATGGTCGAGTTTAATTAACTGAACTACAAGTTCATAAAGTACCCATAGACCATAAATTTCCACACACAAAATAAATTTGCTTTTAAGAATGTAAATAATATGTATATACATAAATATTTTAAATATAATATTTATTTCAACCTTCCGCATAGCACTAATACACCACAATGACATGTCGTGTGATAACATACGATATTTGCATGCTAAAAGTCATTATTGTGAAAAGTATATAGCCACACAATATTAAGAATAAATTCAAGTAAACAACTTTGTCCATATATATTTGTTGGTATATATACATGTAGGTATATATGGTATATGTGAAATTTACTTGAAGGGGTAAATTATTTCAGTTGTTGTGTTGTTATAATTAAAAATATTGGACACTGTTGCCCTTGGTGCTCTATTTTTGTCCTTCATCGCTTGTCAGAACATTTTGTCCAAGTTTTATAAAATCGCTTTGTGTTGTTTTTTAATTTCTTTCCATCAATACAATTTAGTAAAACTATAAAATATTAAAACTGGATCGATATTTTTTGTATTTGAAAACTTTTTATAAATTCTGGTGAACAAAATAAGTGGTTGTGATTAAGGAAGTCAAAGAGCAACATGTAAGCAAGTAGTAATAATTAAAGTGCTACTGGGAAAACATATTTCGGTGAATTTCTTACTTTAATTTTCAGAATTAATGTTTTTAATAATAACAATTATGATTTAATCAATTTTCTATTTAAAAAATCATTTTAAAATTAAAAAGGTTTTTATTATAAATTAAATTATATAATAATTATAAATTAAATTATAAATTAATATAATTAAATATAAATTATATTAAATAAATTAAATTCTAATTATAATAATAACAGCAGTATGGTTGAGTATATATCAATATATTTAATTCTTGATAAATATCAGAGAAATAGAATATTTTAAATGAAAATTTTCAGTACATTATAATATTTTTCTAATGAATTGATTTATAAAACAAGTACAACACTTAATTGAAAAACATGTTCTACAAAATTTTATTAAAATTATTTAATAATTTCCATAATATAAGGGTTGTGAACTGAATAATTTCTGAAGTCTTTTTGTTTAATGGTTCCCTATTTTTAACCAGTGGTTTAGTTTATCTAGCTTCCGCATCAGTATTTGCAGTCAGAATAAACATGGTTTGATTTGAGGTTATGTTCAATTACACTTTTAAATCGGAGGTTCCGGTTTTAGTTTCGTTCATAGTACTGCTTAAGTTTATAAAAAAATACATATGTATTCACGCAAATAATACTGAATTTTTATGTATAAAATCGAAGTCAATAATATTGTAAGAAGTCAAATAAATTTTTTTCAACAAGTGTGAAAAAATCAATTTTATGCAAATGCTATGTACATATACATAATTATAATTTATTTCTAAATGACCAAGAAGTTTTAATATCACTTCGTTAAATTTTAATGTAATACAAAAATTATATATAGTAATATTTTGTTCCCTAAACTTAATTGAGAGTTTGAGAGAAGAAACTTATACATCTTTATAGTTCTTAGGATGTATAAGTTTTCATGACAAGCTTGCTGCCCAGATATATTTTCAGTTATTGTGCGGAAAATAACTAGAAATGTACTTTATAAAACTGAAGTATTATTAAGGTTTACATAAGGACAGCTTTCTTTAAGTTATACTACTACCTTAAGTTTAAGTTTCTTTAGAGATCGATTACTATACATACACATATTTACTATAAAAATTGTCATTATGTAGAATTTTTGACAGAAAACTTTAAGTAAAATACTATCGAACGCGCTAGGAAAGGTATTATTGTGCTTTTTCTATGTCAAAAAAAAATTAGTAAAGTTATTACCTCACGCATAATTCAGGGTGCTTCAGGTAATCATTTGGAACACCTGAAAAATTTGGGGATATCGTTGACATCATGAAAATATTTGTTCTATCCTTTCTGTGCTAAGCATTTTAATCAAAAATGAAGAATGAGAAGATTCAGCGATATGCAGCCACCTGCATGTAAAACTTGGTCACGTTCCATTAAGAAAAATCCAACACTCTCATTCAGATACCCCTAAAGATATCAGTCTTGTGGTAGGTTTTTGGACAGGTCATATCCGAATAGGGAACCATGCTAAAAGTTTGAATTGCTCGTTTAATCATACGCATCGCAATTGTGGAAAGTACAATAATAGTGCTTTGTTTACTGTCTTACATCTCCATGCGCGGCTTCGATTAACTAACTTAAGAGCTTTCTTCTTTGAGAATTTTGGCCAATTCAGGATCTCCCTCTAAAGAACATTTTAGGCTTTGTCAAAGGTTTAAGGTGGTTTTAACCTCTGAGTTTCTTATATGGTAACAAGGTTCACCGATAGGCTTAAGTAAAGCTTAGGATCGCCGGTATAACCTAACCTTACCAAGAATAAATAGATTTTATAATTATATTTTATAGTTGGACAATTTTTAAAATCCAATTTTATAAATACTGAATTTGATTAATGATATATAAATAAGAAATGTAGACAGTTTAGATTTCGTTTTAATTTGTTTGATTGTTATTGATTATTACATATATAATATATATTCTGTTTTTAAATTTCTCCTTAATATAGTCCAATGCAATAATTTGTATTATATAATAATATATTTACATGATTCAAAATGCACTACAAAAACCTTAATAAAAAAATACTGAATGACTTCCTTGTTGCGAAGTGGATTACAGTAACAAGATATGTCATTTTTAAGGATATCTAATTATATTTGTAAAAAGTAGTACGCCCACCTTGTTTATTTAACAACTAAACATGTTGTATGTATGTTTTTTGTACGTAAACGCATCTGCTTTAAATGCTGAGGAGCTCTTCATTATATTTCATACTTCCAACTATAATGTAGAGAAAGTATAACCTAAATAAAAGTTTTGTGTGCTACACTAAACCAGAAACTAACAAACATAGTATCCTGGCAACAGTAAATTAACGAGAAAGGAATGAATGCACACCACTGTCTCTCCCATCTCTTTATGTTGCAATCAGAATTTAATGGTTTATTTATGCGCCGCACCCGCATTCAGGCTCCTACACAATTAAATATTCCATCTGCAATGTAAACAAAATAAAAATCAAATGACAACACCACTAAACAAGTGCACAACTACACACACGCACACACATCCAACGATTCAAAGAATTTAGTTTCCCTTTGTTGTTGTTTTTGTGTTCCTTCTGCAAACATTTCATGCAATTTGTCATGTTTTCTACACTTTCATTGCATTGAGTTGAGCTGAGCTGAGCTAAGTTGAGTTGAGTTGCGGCGTTCGTATGCATTGCAAATGCAGGCACACCAGGCCTCGTTACCAGTAAATTGTCAACTATTCACAATGTTTACTACGTTGTGCTATAGTTGTTAGTTTATTATAGTGGTATTGTGAGATATATTCTTTTGTGTACTGCACCATTTTGCGGTCGTTATTTCAAAATAGTGAGTAGAATTTCTTATTTAAAGCCGCAATAAGCCGTGCCGAAAAAATGAATTTTACATCGAAGGACTTTTTAGAATAGATCTAAATTTGATAAGAATTAATTTAGTACATATTTCATATATTAGCTCTAAACATGCATGAACCAATTGAAATTTTAGAATTAAGAATAAAGTATATTTTTAGTTTTTCATATTAGTGAACAAATTTTATTTTTAATTTTGAAACATTGCGGTAGATATGGAAGATAACAAGTTCCTAATTCCTTCAGTTAAAATTACTTGAATTGGTAAACCGACATGCAACCAATTGTCACATTGAAGAAAAGTACTGATAAATAACAAATTTATTATATGCGTGCAAAAAATGAGCAAAGTAATATCATTTTGGATTGGCAAATCTAGATTTGCTCAAATTTTAGGGTCTTGGCCATCTACAGGACTTTTCTCTAAAGAGCATTTTCAGCTTTGCCAAAAAATTCAAAGTGATTTTTAAAATTTTGAATACTTATTGGGTAATATAATACAACAACAGGTGTAAGTAGAGCCTTAGGATTACCGGTGCAAACTAATCTGTATATAGGTTAAGTTAGGTTATCCCGGCAATCCCAATGGATTAGGCCTGTAGGCCCACCGTATTATTAAAAAAAACAAGCGTTGAAACTATTTAGAAACGTTGGCAAAGCCTATGATGCTATTCAGAGGGAGATCCTGAATCCGTATATAATTTGACTGAAAATGGACTGCACGTACCATACGGCTTAAAACGTTAAACCTCAAATGGTTCAAATAATAACATTGTTAGTTAAGTTAATTTAGTAAGACTATACCTGCATCTAAGTTATTTAGAATATGAACTACGAGAAGTCAAGTCAAAACAGTAATCATTAGCACTTTTTGCGTAATAGCACACATAAGACCTAAGACTATAAAATATTTTTATAATCTTTAATTTTTTCAATATGTAATTGTTCTTTCAGTGGTTTTTAAATAAATATTTAAAACAAAATTATAAATAAAAATAATGAATGCATATAAAGCTTAGGTATTTATTTATTTGTACAATATAATTTTAATTTCAGAAAATTTTACTAAAATACTTAACTAAAATTTGAAATATAAAAACAAAATATTTTATATAAAAGTCAATCAATAAATTAAAGCAATATGTACTTATTTATCCCGAAAGCTTATGGTTTTAAATATAATTAGTGCTAAACATTGAATCTGCAGTCGTTGGTTTATTTAATTAAATTAATGCTTCTAATTCACTTAAATAAAATCAATATTTTATAATGGTGAAATGAATTTTTTAAAATTCCAATATCCTTTTCATTTCAGAAATCAACGAATATGCTTCACTTATTGGCATTGATGCAACAAAAGAGCATTATTTACTTTACTTGGCTAAGGAAGGGTTAATGCAAGCACTGCCCTCGGATTGGAAAATTTGGTAAATATTTTTTCTCGAATATATATTTAACTTAATTTATTTTGTTTTATTTTATCATACTTTACTCAAACTATCTTCAGATATAATATCTTTTGTAACTTAATATAAATATATATGTGAAATCACAAATTCTTCTATCTTTACAAAGCTAATTGATGTTGACATCCTTTAAATATTGGTAAAGAAATCAATCTCCATCAATTGAATTCGCCACTGAGATATGAAATCACTACTTAATAGAGCAATAATTCTCGTAGAACAATAATATTATAGAGTAAAAAAAGTGCGCGGAAATGTCATTACTTCGTTTATGCATATTAGTGTTTTGGTTCTTAAAAATATGCAAGAGAATATTCTTCAGATATTATCATATATTCTTGATAGACAAAAGGTGATTCCTGACTATCAGTTTAATTTCATTCAAAATCATGAAGCAACTGATAAGCGCCTCTGAAAAGTCCAGCTATGGTGCCTTTTTGTAAGGCCCCTAACAATCATTTGATTGACTATCAGTTTAGTTTGTATCAAAATCATGAAGCACCTGAGTAGCGCCTCTACAAATTCAAGTTTATTTATAAAACAAAAAGTAGTATGATGCTATATTTCTTGGCCCCTATCAAGGATTTGATTATGATTCATATGAAAATATCAAAAAGATACTTATAGGTAATATGTATATGGGCTTAAAATCTTATATTCACGAGCGTAGTTTTAATTAAATTAAAATGTTTTAGACCCGACAGCAGATAACGTCCAGGCAGCTACTTTAGTTATTTTTTTTTATAACAAATCAGAATTACGTTCATTAAGATTTATACAAGGGTGAATGTTAAAAATTTTGATTGAATAATCTAGAAATACCTCTTATTTGGTCTATTTACAACCTAATAAGAGACAATCAACGTCAAGAAAAATATCTTGATCCTGATTCATCTAAACCACATTTGCAACTAAACCGCTTGAACCGCTTGATATTATTACTAAAGCCAGGTTATTATTTCATATGTATTAATATTTTTATTATATCTAAGCGTATTATTTCTACCTTTATTTCCCTATAGTAATTAAGAATGTTAAACACTTTCTCTGTCAAATTTTTTTTGCTGCAAGTAATACATTTCATATCGTAAAAATTGTAATGACCACTGTAAGGATTTAGTAAAGTTTAATTAAATTTTTTCAAACCAAATAGATATACAATAGAAAAAGTTCACGTCACGGTAGATTTTCAACTCAAAAATTGGTTGGATTATGACCATGCAACTACCGAAATTATGAAATTTTCAACGCACGCAAAATATTGCATACTTTCAGAATTCCATTTAATAAGCTTTGCTCTATGGCATTTTAAGAATTTAATATCAATATGAGATTTTAAAGTACACAGTATGGTAATATATAGTTATTTGTGTGTTTTAATGAGTTTGACATGGAAGCATAACTCATATGAATGGATATAAAGAGTATGTATATATTTCTTTGAAAAACTTGTATACAATATTGTATCCTTGACCTTTTCCTATAAATGCTTTGTGAATGCTGCCAAATAAAACTTACTTGTGTTACCGAAAGGGTTTGGAAAACTTTACAACTACATTAAATAATCATCTTATGCTAGATAACTAATGTAAAGGATAAATTGTTCAAACATAGGGAATAAGTAAAGATTATTTTTCAACAGGAAAGCGTTTAAAATAATTTCAAGATATTATATTTAATATTTAATGTTTTTTAAATACAGGAATAGCTTTATGATATTTGAATTAATTATAATTATAAATTAATATTTTTAGTTATTCGGAAGAAAAAGGCGCACATTATTATTATAACACAAAAACGAAACAATCACAATGGGATCATCCACTTGATGCTGTTTATCGAGAACTTGTTGACCAGGCACGCCAGAAACAATCTATTTCCGCTACGCCTACAGTAGATAATTCCGATGATGCCTCACAGCTAGACTCGGGTATACGCAGTTTACAGGGCAATGAATACGAATGTGATAATACAAATAATACCAATGAAATGTCATCACCAACTAGCAATCCAAACGTAAGCAACACAAGTGCAGGACTAAAGCTACATATAATAAATGGTATACAAAATGGGGCCGCTAATAATTCCTCGAATCCAAATTCAACAAGTACAAGTACTAGTGGTTTTAGTGGTGGTGTTAGTAGATTTTTGGAATCAAGAGGTAAAAATTTTGGACCAATATTTCAGCCAATTAAAAATACACGGTTTGAGGTAGCTAAAACGAATCCGCAAATTGGCTTAGCCATGAAATTTGGTAATGATGCTTTTAGTCCGAAATTTAATTTAATACATAAAAATGAAACGGATCAAAATGTTGAGAAAAGAGGCTTTCCATTATCTGGCACTGGTGCGATGTTTTTAAAATCACGTAGACTTACTGAAATGGGATTCAATCAAGCTACGGTGAATATGATGACAACAAGTGGTAATGCCAACAATTCCAACTCTAATTCGAATATTATCATAGAAGGTGTTGTTGGTACACCACCTGGTGTTAAAGGCATTTTGCGTGATTCCAGTCTCACAGATATACGTAGACGCTTTGAAAAAGATGAGCATGATAATGGCACAGGTGCAGAAGACAAAAAAAGCGTACGCTTTAATTTAGATGATACGAAAATGCGTAGTTCGCCAGAAGAAGATCCAAGCAGTTCCAGAAGACTTACTTTCAGTCCCGAAGCTTCTGTCAATTCAGATGATGATGATGATGCTGAAGACAACAATCCTTGGGATGATGACGATGATGATTGTTGTGCAGCTATTGGTCACTTAGTTTCAGATGGCAGTTATCAACGTAATCTTAATCCCTTTCTAGCTAATGATGAGAAACAAGTTAAGATCATACCATTGCCTAAGGAACACACAATACAAATGCTTAAAGCGCAAAGTTTTTCGATGGACTTACCCGAACGGGAACGCACTAAATTAGCTGAACTTGCACGCTCACAGAGCGTTGAAGTTGGTGCGAATGTCTCGGCTGTAAATTATTTAGATAAACTAAAGGACAATTCAATTGTCAAACCGCTTTATGAAGACACTGATTCAGAATCAAAAGGAAGTTCAATCCGTAGTTTTATTATAAATAAATCAGAGCAAGACTCATTACCGCTAACTGCATCATCGAATAACCCATTTGACTTAGATGAGTTGGGACGAAAACACAGCCGTGATGTTGAGCAATTAGAAAAAAAATTGCAGGGTACGGGTGGTGAAAAAACTGGTATACGCACGCTTAAGGTAGCTTCGAAGCTCGTTGGATTTTTGAAGAAGGACTCAGACCAATCGGAGGCGAAAAACGATGAAAACCTTCCCGAATCGTTGAATCAAGAATTAGAAAAAGAGAAGCAAACATTGATTAAAGAAGAACGAGAACATTTAGAGGAACAGTTACAAGATGAAATTGATATTATTAAACGTGAACACGAACAAAAACTTAAGAATATAAGACATGAGTATGATTTGCGCTTGACATCACATCAACATCAAATCGATGAAGCCATGGAGTTGCAAATGGAAGAATATCGCACTCAACTGGAAGAAGATTTAGATGTTAAACGTAAAACGGTTGTAGATGAACATAAAATACAAATGACTACACTGCAAAAAAATCATATGGAAATCTTACAAGACTTGGAAAGAGATTTAAAAAGTGAAGAGGAATTAATTAAGAAAGAACATGTTACTAAGCTAAATGAAATGCGTGATAAAATGGCACACGAATTAGAAATGGAAAAACAACGGTTGCGGGATACCGGAGAAGATCGCCTTTACGAGAAAATACGTTGCGAAAAACGTTTATTGGAGGATAAATATCGTTGTTTAAAGGAAAAATATGTACGTTTAAAAACAGATGTTAAATTATCCTTGGAGCGGCGCACTCGACGACGTGAAGCACAGGCCTTACAACAACAAAGCCTGCATACAACTACCACAGGCTCTGAAACTGAGCGATCGATATCAAATAAGCCATCAATTGGTAATAGTGAAAATCGCTCGATTTCACTCTCTACCTCATGTCAAAATCAAAGCGGTCTAAGCGTTGGTGTAAGTTCTACACAAGCGGTAAATGGCAAAATGTCAGTTAAGCCGCCAGTGCCACCAAAAACACATTTGACAGGGAATACAAGAGATAGTGCAAGAGATAAATCTGCCGAGAAAATACAACAGAGCATACGTAAACCTGGAATAACCTCAAAATATATTAAAAATTTACAAGTACAGGACGACACTACTTCAATTAGTCAATCTGATACTACTATTTCTAATAATTATGCTAAGGGGCGTTATTTACCAGCGCCACTGGTCAGTGATAATGGAAATTCTGACTCTGAGGCATTTCAATTTAATCAGGAAAATAATAATAATTCTAGAGGTAACATTCAGCGTAAAAAGTTGTTTTCGCGTATGAAATCCGCTTCTACGTCACGACTGAATTCAGATAATTATAAAATTGAGCGTCCCTGTACACCAGTTGAAAATCTAAGACATCAATTGCAAAAACTTGAAGATTTAGAAGATCAATTTCCAGAAAATACTCTTGATGCTACTTATCACTTAAGATATCCATTTTCAGATATTTCAAATGAGCATGCGGGCAGTAGCTCTGAACTGGAGTTTTTTAAACATCGCATTCATTTGGAGCGTGATTCAGTTCGTCGGGCTAAAGAATCTTTACGTACACAAAGAACTAATTTTAGAGCACGGCAACGTGAAATAAAACAACGTCATAAGGTCACAATAACTCGTCACACTTTAGATCAACTTATACAAGAAGAAAAAGAACTTACTGAAATGGAAGTAAATTTGCATCGTACACGTGCTCTTTTGGGTGAAAAAGTTATACGTTTACGTCATTTGGAGCAGAGTTTGTTACGTATTTATGAAAAAGAAAAACCTTCAATGGATATGTTAGGCGTTGAACAAAAAGAAGATGCTACTTTGAGTGATCTATCGTCGCATTCTAGTTCAGGTTTCAGTAGTACTGACTTTGCAAGTGGAGCGGATACACAAAATTTAAATAAACGCAAGGAAGCCTATCATCATGAGTCTAGTGAATGTATACAGAATTTAGAAATACTTAATGCAGAAATACGTGAAATACTCGATATACTTGGCAAGAATCAACAACAACATGCTAGTGCTGGTAGTATATATATTATATTATATTATATTATATAATTTTTTATTATAATTAACTTCTTTTATTAGGTATGTCTGTACCTTTGATTTCGCCTTCAGAACTTAATTGGTCGCATATGCTGAACTCATCCACAGTTGTTACTTCTAATGTGGCACATAATTTACATAATCAACAAATGACAGGTACATCTGGCTTACATATGCATGCACCTCAGTCCATACCTACTTTAGCCGATCGTTTAGAAACCTATCGGCAATTGGCTTCAGGACGTATGCAATCTTCCATGGGTGGCGCAATCTTAGCAGCAAACACAATTGTTTCTCAGAGTCCGCGGGCTGTTAATTACACCACAAGTCTAGTCGAACGAACACGTGATTTACGAAATTGGTTACGTCAAGCTAAGAATGAAAACGAGTTACTTTCAGCAATGCCTATATCCACTCAACATACACTTAATACACTGACCTCTGCTGGTCCAAATATTACTCCAACTGGTGGTAATACGGGCACGCAGACAAATCTATAATTAGAATATAATGTATTCTGTTGCTGGCGTAAACATTAGCAGTACAGAAAGACGTCAACTAGTAGAAGGCATGATATTTATCAATCCCTAAGCCTTGAGCTTATAATGTTTTGATCTTATGTATGTGGTTAGTTAATGTGAAATTTTATTAGACTTTTTATAGATGTTAAAGTATGTTTTTCTATTTTATTTTTATTATTTAAAACAAAATTTTAAGTGTATATCTTAAATAAAATAGAAACGAATATATGGAGAAGTATGAATTTATGAAGTATGTATGTTAATTATGAAAAACGAGAAGAATGCTTTAAGGTGCCAAAGTATTTTTTCAAATAAAAAATAAGTATAAGCACCTATAAATGAATATGTACCAATAAGGTAAGAACATTAGTTAAATTTAGTATGTAAAATATGATTATATAATATAAAACGAAAGTAATACCTATACATAATTTGATTAATTCAAACATAGTATACAATATAAAAATTATTTGATATATCAGCATGAAATCAACTTGTATTACGAAAAAATATGACATTATGTTTGAAACATTTTATTTAAATTCATATTGAATTGAACTTACTAAATTTGGAGGTTTCATTTTAATAGAATAAAGGAACTTAACTCCCTCTTCAGTAAGCAATAGAAGGCTTTAGTAAAACATTTAAGTAACCCACAAAACTATTCCGCAAATGATCATTTTTGTTATACACATATTTTTCCATAAATGAAATATTTATTTCTTTAAATGTTCTTGCCAATTAATATATTTCCCTAACTTTAGATTTTGTATTATAACCCATAATAATAACATATATGATTATAGTTTGTTTAAAAGAAGATTAATGTATGTTTATAATTTAAATGCTTTTTGGATACTTTAGAGTTTTAATTCAAATATATATTTAAATATATTTAAATTTAATTTAAATTTTAATATAATTTGTAGTTTTAAGGAAGCGGTGAGAGACTACAACTTTTGTAAAAACAAATATTTTATACTTTAACAATATTGTATTTTATTTAAAAATATTACACTATATTTTGCATCCTGCGCTATATTACAATATATATATTGAATTGTATTACAATACAATATATTTCATGCTTTTCTGAATTAGTATAAATATTATAGCAATCTACTTTTAATATAAAATGGTGGTTTCATGTTGACTATATAGATAATCTGTAAATCTGATATTGGTTAGACTGAAATAATACTAATATTTATTTAATAATAATAATAATCATTATAAAGCTTATTTTTATTTTTATCAAAAAACTATACAATATTTTTTTAACAGTACTTAAATATTAAATATATATTCAAATACTCTATCTAAAAAATATCTTTATATAGTCGTAAATATGTAAAAATACTTTAATTACATTTATCTTTTATAGAGAGGTTCCAAAATCGAAATTTATCTTTTATCAAAAAATTAAAGAGCATATGTGAGATTAAAAAAATAATTTCAAATAACAAATTTTATTTCAAGAATATAAAACAAATTTAATATATAAGAAAAACTGGAGATTATATTTTTAATTTAAAATTTTTGAAAACACTACAAAACGACTAAATATGAATACATTTTTGACAAATAAAAGAGAAATAAATATGTTTCTCCATATTATTACTTGATGGTCAAGCAAAGATGGAGAATTGTTTTACTACTGTTACTATTAATGGGTCAAGTAAGCTTTTATATTATAAAAGCATATTTGACAAATTAATATTGTTGGAACCAAATTAAAAACTCAAAGAATATATTAAAAATATTATATTTTAATTTATAAAATGCATGATATCAAATTGTATTAAATTTATGCAACAAAAATTAAAATCTATTAAATTATTAAATAAATTTATATATAATAGATATACAGACAATTGTAATAAAGACAAATGTCTTAACTTATAAATCGAATGGCAAGAGTGATGGATTGATATACAAATAAGTAAATACGAATATAGATTGTTATACGGAAGCCAAAGAGATCGTTAATATAGATAAATATTTATACACGAAATACCTTATAAGTATACAGTTAAATTATAAATGTATCTACATATATTCCCCAAAAACAAAAACTATGCAATTTATAAACTGACAAATATTTTATTCAATAATCTCTATGACTTAACACTTCATATGATAAATTTCAAATACACATAATTAATACACAAAATTAAATAGATGTTTTAAAGGTCTATATTCATATAGTAAATACAATTTTATCATTTTAAACAACAATAACAATCTAATATATTACATGAAAAGGGAATAAAGTTATTAATATCTATACTCTAACCTTTCTTATTAAACTTAAAACTATTGCATTATTTATCGCTGCAAAAGTGATTTCAGTTATCCATAAAATACTTTTTACCTACAGATTCTCAATTGTCGGCTTGGAGTACCGACTGTAAGCCGAGACGAATTTTCCGATGAGCCCTTTTTTATAAGCGCATTGTACTTAGCACTTTTTTACTCTAAGTCGACGAATTATTTTTCTATAGAAATATACAATATATGAATATCGTATGGTATAAATACACATAAATCCAATTGAAGGTTTTGGAAATTCTCCTTTTGGTTAATAATCATGTTAATCTTTCATTTAAATTACTATTGCTACAATAAAGTGATAATATATAATATCAAAAGAATAATATTTTCATGAAAAAATAGGATCTATAAATTAAATTGTCTATACATTATTTTCTACATTATAAAGCAAGAAACGTATGTCAATAAAATGGTAATTAAATCACAAAAATACGACAACAAGCATAACTGATTATTTAGGATTATCAATGATAAACTAACCTAAACGAATATTTTTTTGCTTTTAAAATCTTAAAGCAAAAAAAAAATTTATTAATGACTAATTATTTATTATTTCTTACATCTTTAATAAATGAAATTACTTTTGCAAACCCTCAAAGGTATTTAGTGAAATAAAAGTATATGAAAAATTCTAATAAAATTGCTATTAATTGTCCATTATAAAAGCAATATACATTACTTTAATATTTTGCTTTATTTTATAGATCAAGAAAATTATTGAATAAAATAAAAAATAATTTTAAACTCATTTTAATTTCAATATTAAAAATTAAAAGTTATTTTTCATAAATGAAGTTCGAGTATGAGGCCTTCAAGACTTAAATTTATATTATTAAATAATTTTCTTTAATTTATTTAAATATAGTTCATCTATAAAGGCCATATTTTTGTTGGGAAAAAAAATACTAAAATGTTTAAAAAAAACATATTAATTATTTTGTGATATTATATCTAAATTGAAAAATAATTTAACCTGAGTTATATGCACATGATAGTGATAAGATTTTAGTTGAAATATTATTTTGAATATATTTAAAAATAATGATCTCAATGATTTTATTAGAAAAAGTGAAGATAATGCATTAGGTATCTACAAATTTTTAAAATAAATTTTTAATGTTAATAAATAATTAATTTATTACCGTCCTTTGTGTTGAAAAGTTGTCCATTCATAAAATTAATTGTTTTGTTTATATCCTGAGATGTGATAAATAGTAAATATGTTACATATGATTTCTATATAAAATCTTGCTTTAATTTGTTTTACAAGCACAAAGTATTTCTTAGAATTTTAAAAAGATATAGAAAATATTTTAAACTATTTATAATAAATTAAGTTTTAAAATATAAAATTTTAATTGTAAATTTTATATGTTTTGTTTTAAATTTAAAGCTTCTAACTTTTTTATTTAACAAGTAAAATTTATTTTAAAAAGAATATATATAATAAGAATGAAATACGATGAATTTAATATACTTAATTAAACTGAAATGATGGCAGCATGTTAAAATTTGAATATATATATTTATCAATATATTTATTATATAACTATTATTATAGTGTTAAAGTTTAGATTATCAGAAAGGAATAAATGTTTAATAAACATTCTAAATATAAAAACTCAAATTTATAAAATATTAAAGAAATTCATATTCATATAGAACTAAATATATAATTGACTTCAGTATATTACATAAATCGACGTTAAAAAATTTGGCAATGGCTCTAGATACGAAGCCTTATTGTACTTACAAATATTTATAACAAAATTAGTAAAAATGTTAAATTAAATTTCGTAATTTAATAAAATTTATTAAGCACATTAAATAATTGTGTGTTTTTTTTCTTAAAAATATTTAATAAATACAAATGAGTGCATAGAAACTCATTTCTATGGTTTTTTAAAGTTAATTCAAAGCTTATACGTATATAGAAACATTTAATTAAAAAAGATCAATTGAATAAAATAAAATGTATTAGGAGAGATTTAAATCCTAAACTTTTTCCCTTTATGTATGCCAATGAATACACACGATTGAGTACTTAGGACCATAAATGAAATAGTAGAAGCCGTTGCTAGTGTTTGACAGTTTCAATTTATTTTTTCGATAACTATAATTCATCCTTATTAGAGATAAACCGTATTAGAGTTTAATTTTAATATAACAAGTTTGTTTGATTTTTATATCCCTTATTGCATTATCGTTCTGTTAGATTACATCAGTTATGTATAAAATTATATATTGTCTATATACTAAATTGACTTAATGTGATTCACATCATCTTCGTAAGATGACAAATCAAATGATTAATCCTGGTTAAAACATTTGGTTAACGTCAGTAGGAATATTGGTTGATAATGCTAAATGTTAATGTCAATGTTAGCAACATGGGAGATATTCTCCAGTTGATAATCATATAACAATGTTATTGTGTTTTTTATAATCCGCTGAATATGAACAGGTAGCTGTTCTTTCTTTTACTGCTTCACAGCTATAATTTTTGTAGTAGTCTATTGACGTCATATCCATTGTTGTGTTATGTCGATCTATAAAACAGTGTTTAGTAATGACACCTTATAGGATTGAAATTGCATCTATTTGGATGAAAATAAGCAGTGTGACATTTGTTAGATTGCTCAGAGTCTTGTCTTTGAACATGTCGTTTCATGATATACTTCCCTAAGAAACCTATTTAAAATAAAATGTTTGCAAGCCGTTAAATAAGCTACTCATTGGATTTGAGTCTTTTGTTTATATAAACTATATATATCTTATTCTATTAAGCAAATCAAGATCAATGG